GCTTACAAAAGGATGTAAATGTGCTGAATTAAGCTTAATGTTGTCACACACAAGCAAAAGGGTTTTAGAAGTAGAAAATGCCCATAAATCCATAAATTAAACAAGTTTTACCAAATCAACGCTCCAAACAGTTTAATCAGTGTCAAAATCAACACTTGAAGCACTAACCAGTTGTAGGCTCATCCTCTTGTTGAACAGATTTTTCCTTTTTCTTCTTACTCTTCTTTTTCTTTTTCTTGGCCTTCACATTCTTCTCCTCTTCCGTTCCTTCTGCAGGCTCAGCTTCAGCATCTTCACCAGAGCCGTCAGTGACTTCCTCAAGCATTTGCTTCTTTGATTTTGGTTTTTTATTAGATATTTTCTTCTTAGCCCCACCAATGTCTAAACCATATTCAGATTCATCAATCTCTTCAAGGGATAGAAAACCTGCATTCATCGTAATCAAAAAAAGTTACCAAATAGGTCCATCGTAAAACCTTAGCACAATATAGCTTCAGGAAAACATTTTAGGCAGCAAAAACCCTTCCAAAGACTTGGTTTAACCTTGTAAGACTCGTATTCTTGAAATAACAATACAGCTATATCAATATCCCTTTACTAAACTTAGTTCATCATGGTTTCAAATTGAAAACGTAAAAGTCACCAACATGGCCAACACTTTGCTATGAGTTCTCTATACAACCGAAGAAATTCAAGAAAACAAGACCAATGCGCAATACCGGGAGCCTAAGACTGCCAAATTCATAGCTATACACCAAAGACTCCAAAACACCCCAAGACTCTACTAGGTGCTTAGGTCCTTAGAAATGTATCAAAAGCAAAAATAGTTAAATGAATCACAAAAAGTAATCCTAAATGACCAATTTGATTAACTCAGTTCATAATTTTGAAGTCAAATACTCCAATCCCTTAAAACCAACAATGATAAAGCTAAACACATACCAAGCTCCATCAACCTAAAACCCCATAAACCCAAACTGCCAAACATCCCTTCAGCTCCAAAATCAATTTTAAGTGAAAAAAAGAAGAAGATAAAAACACTTACTTTACAGTTAAGCCTAATTGCCACCTTGTTAAAACTAAAATAAACAGAAATATCAAACTAATAATAACCAAGCGCTAAAATTTAACACATTCAAACAAAAAAAGAAAAGAAATAACTGATCTTGCATATTTTTTATAAAGGTTAACCTCCATCGAGGTCCCCGGAGCCAATGAATAGAGAGAAAGCGTCGTCGTCTTCATTGGGAAGAGAAGAGTTCCAAGGGAGCCTGTCGAGTCGTTCGAGTTCCGGGTCATGTTTTGCTCTCTTTCTCTTTTTCCCTTTCTTCTTTGAAAGAGAAACCGATCCCATTTCTTCGTGTCGTTGCTGCGACGGAGAAAGGGTGGCCATGGCTGTGAAGCTTTTTGGTTTTGTTTAGTCTGCTGAATCAATAATATGTTAGTATTATAGGTGTAAATAAAAATAATTAAATACAATATTACTCCCTAAACTATACACTTTATATGAATTGTCCTCTAAAATATTGTTTGAGCTATTTTATTCCTTAAATTTTAAATTATTACTTTATTTACTTTAAATGATTAATTCCGTTAACAAATAAAGATAAATTGTATATTTAATCATTAAATGATTTCTAAATTTTATTTTAATCACCCAATTATTCTTTTAAAAAATTATTAAATTTTAACTTCTCGATATTATCTAAGGATAGCAACGAGTCGGGTTAGGTTGAGTTTTTGGTCAAATTGATCCGACCCGAAAATATGTATCCTCCACCCGAACCCGATCTGACCCGAAAATTTTATATCCCTAACATGACCCGAAAATATATATCTTTACTTGATTCCATCCTGACCCGATTTTTTAGATTATAAATCCGACCCGGCCCGGTATAAAATAAGTATTTAATTAAAAATAATAAAAATTTAAGAAAATTATATTATTATTGGGTCGGGTTATAGTTTTTTCACCCTTCACTAAACTCGAATCGACCAGACCTCGCTCCTTATAAAATCTGACCCAATTCGAATCCAAAATTTTAAAAAAAATCAAATCTATTAGGTAAGAACTTGTCGGATTCGGGTTAGATTGTCATCCTAATAGCATCTAACAATATCATCTGCACTAGATATAAAAAGAGAAGAATTACGTAGATGACATTATTGGTGTTTACAGTAGAGATGGATATAAAATTTAATATCGGATATAAATTTTTTAAAAATAATATTATAAATTCAAATAGCGTAAAATTACAAAATTTTAAAATATGTAAAATCAAATTATTAGTACAATATATTTAAATTATATAAAGTTTAAAAAAAAATTTTAGTGTGTATGACTAGGGATGGGTAGAACCAAACTTGACGGGTGTTAACCCAATTCGATCCTATCGAGTAGGTTTTTTTGAAAAAAATAGGATCATATAAGATTTTTTTTTAGATTATGTTTGGGTCGAGTCGGGTTTTAATTTTATCCCAAAAGAACGAATAAAATTCAAGTCAGATGGAGATTATATAATTTTTGGATCGGATTCAGATCGAATAAAAGACATATAATTTTCAAGTCAAATCGAATTAACCATAACTTCGATCCAACATGACCCATGATCATCCTTAGATATGACCAACTCTCCTTTAGCTGTCGATCCATCCCAGGCTTATGGTTTTTGGGCACTAATTTTATGCTTTAATTAATGGCATATAAAGGTAAGAATGTGAAATATTAACCCAAAAGAGAATAATTTAAAGTAAATTCACTTTTGTTAGAGCATTGTCTGTCGGACAACGTATCAATGAAAAGGCACAGCTGTTGTAAACAAATTTAAAATAGAAGTGACAATGGTGATTTGAGTTTTAATTATGATAATATTAATATTTTAAATTTTAATTATAAGGGTTGATATTATAAAATATAAATTTTATATTATTCGGATGTAATTTTTTTCATATGCTTAAATAGTGTCTTTTAAATTTATATTAATTGAGGGATTGAATATACAATTCATTTACGTGTACTGTCATTTATTCGGTCTTATTAAGGGTTAATTATATGATTGATCATTTATGTTTGTGTTTTATCTATTTTTTTCTCATTGATTTCAAAAAACATAATAGATTGTCACTTTCGTTTTTATTTAATTAAGATATAATAAATGATATAAAAGTTAAATATTTTAATATAATCACACATTTAATCCTTTTTATTTATATTCTCTTAATTTAATCATATTTTTAATAAATTTAATCTTCGATTATGCAGTAAATATGTAAACTAAATTAAGAGAATATAAAGACCTCAAAGCAGCAATTTCCCTTTATGGGTCTGCCATTTCCACCAAGATTCGCCTCAACCAAAATCATTTCAACACACTGTTGTACCTCTGCGCCACTTTTGCAACCGACACCGACTCCAAAGATCACGCTTTAGTGCTTTACAATATGGGGTTCGAGTTTTTGACCATATGTTGGCTTTTAATATCGTTCCCAACGAAGCTTCTATCACTTCCATATCAGTTCCAAAAGTTGTTTTGATGTGAAGAAGAAGAAGAAAAGGTAAAGACACGTGGAGGAAGGTGGCGGATGGATGTCGGCGACACCTAACGCTAGCAGTGAGAGGCGGACGGCCACCGGAATTCTAAAGTTTCTCTCTTATATAATTTTGAGATGGGGAGGCAAATGAGCTTTGGTTTTTAGACCCATGTGCAGAGGAAGAAGAAAAAATAGACTAAGGAGAAGAAATGAGATAGATGAAGAAGAAGAGGTGCACAGCTGGTGATATATGTATTTTTTATTATTTTAAAATAATCATGTGATGCTTATGTTAATGGATTAATGGAGGTTAGCATCTAAAAAATTTAAATCAAATATATCGTTAACGTAAAGATTTAAGCGTATTTAATTTAAAAATCGAAGATCAAAATCGATCAGACCGAATATAAATAAACTATTGTCATAGTTTAGCCTTGATTAAATATTCACTTTTATCCTTATTAATTTTATAGAGTATTTTGGGTCATAATATTTTATTGACTTAATATAAGAAAAAATGCATATTTTTTTTCGTAACACTTTTAAGTGTCTATTGTTAAAGAAACCATCAAGTTACAAATGTTATGTTTAGATTTTTTTGAAAAAAATATTTTTAAATAATATTTATTTTAAAAAATAAAATTAACGATAGATGCTAAAAGTATAAACAGAAAAAATATTAAATATCTATTTTTAATAAAAAAAATCTTTAGACACCAAAAATCAATTTTAGTTATAGTTTAAACACATATTTTTATGTTAAGCCAATTTTATTTTGAGACAAAAAATCCTTTATGAATAGATATCATTAATCATCAAATCATTAACGTCCAGAATAAAAAAAAAATCAGCTTAAAATGAGCCCATGGGCCCAAAATGTTCAAAATACATGATCCCAAATGACTTTTTGTCAAATATTAGAGATATTTTACTATAGAATATAATGTTGAAGGGGAAAATTGTTTAAAAATAAATGTGTTAAAAACGATTATTTAATCAAACATTAAATGTATTTTTGACATAATACCTATTGTTAATGTAATTAAAGTTAACATTGGATTGACTATAAATCCGGGAAAAAAAGACTATCAACTTGTTGGTATAATGTGATAAGGTATTAAATCTCTTAGATTACGAATAGAGTAAATTAGATTGAGAGGTTCGTCCTTACTTCTATAATATTCGATCTAGATTAGATGATTAATAGATCAAATATCAGGGTAAGAAAGAGCAAAAGCATAGGATATTTGTTTCCAATCAAAATTGGATCATTTTATTGATAGACTACATCTAAACTTAACTCCCAACCCTTTGATCATCAGGCTCCCTGCAGATGCTTAAGAGCCTTCTCATTTAATGATGATGACTAAAAAAACTAGAACTAGATTTATAATATTAACAAAGTTAGACCCTTTCTCTCATTTCATCGAAAATTATGTTATTAAAATCATCAGGGGAAATTAGCAGAAAGGGATCACCAAATTGTGCAAGTTTGTTGCACATGCAGCATCGAAACTCCCATATAAATTCTTATCATCCGAGTCTCCCATAAACCATCCCAAATTGTGCATGCCTTGTTCTTGATTTGTTGTTGTTGTTGTGTTGGGGTATGAATCAGTACCCATAATTTGTTATGCATATGGAACTTTATGCTCCGTTTCATCGAGCAACGACATGATCCTTTTCATGTTGAATTGGTTCGATTGTAACTACTGATGTTGTTGTAGCAGACTCTGATGTTCTTGTTCTTGCTGTTGCAGGATTGCTGCTGTTGAAATCGTTGCCTTCTAAATGTTCGAGCTTTTGCTTGACCGGAGTTACAAGTACATGCTTGGGCTTATTCTTGAAATGGGTTCGCCAATAGTTCTTGATCTCGTTATCAGTTCTTCCAGGTAAGCTTCTTGCTATTGTTGACCACCTGATGAAGAAATTCCATGGCTTTGTGAACCGATAAACAAACAAATCGAAACAGAAAATACCCAGAATTATTTAAGAATCAGATCATTGGTTTACCTGTTTCCCCACCTTGAATGTAGCTCAAGGATCAGACTCTCTTCATATGGGGTTATCTGGCCTCTTTTAAGGTCTGGCCTTAAATAATTCACCCACCTTAGCCTGCAACTCTTTCCATTCCTCTTTAGCCCTGTCCAACAACAACATTCACTTGTTCATCTCATCCGAATTCAGAACTTAAGATTCGAATCTTGATATCTGCAACCGACTCTTTCCTCGAACATTATCCGAAATACAAAACGAAAGAAGCAAATGTTTTTCGCTTACCAGCAAGCCTAGCAACAGATTTCCATCTACCTTCACCATGTAACCTGACATATTCAATAAGAAGCTTATCTTCTTCAGCTGTCCAAGGACCTTTCCTCCAGCTTTCTTCCATAATACCCCAACCCAATTGTCCAGCCATTAATGCCCAAGACATGAAAAGAGACAAATAACAAGACAAAAAGCTAAAACCTTTAAGGTGGAAATCTTCCTTTCTCTCTTTTCTAGCAAATTCCATGCCATCTAAGGTTAGTGTGCCACGTATTTATATATGCACTAAAGAGGCATCATTTTCCTTCAGCTTCTCCCATCAGTCATTTTCAATATCATCCCCATCTCTTTTTATTTTCCCTTTGTTATGTACAACTGAACTCTAAGATACCACACCATTTGTCAAATGACTCGTGGAACATTAAATATGCTTAAATTAATGAATAAATTCCAAGTGAAAATTTGTTGAAAAAAAACTTATATACACACACACACACAATCTAGTTTAATCCAAAATTGGTAAAATTTGTATGAAGGTATTTGGGTAAAATATGATTGAGTTGCAAAGGGAGAATTAAGAATGTCAAGGCATAGGGCGACAGATTTCTCCAACTTGCATATATATATTTGTTTCGCAAAAGGGTCACTGTTATCCCTATTGTAAACTCAATTTATCATTTTTGTATTTATTATTTTTTCATCAATTTAGTCATCGAAATTGTCTACGGTGTCCATCTTAGCCCTCGAAGTCCTTTTCGACTAAAATAATCATTAGTCTTATGCATTTTTCAACACCAATAATTTCCAGATTAACCAAATATTACTGATTGACTTGATAATAAACGTGACATTTATTAAAAAATAATAAAATATTTACTAAATACAACAGTTAGAAAAAAAATTCTAAAAATTTGACATAATCTCTTAATCTCACTGAAATAAATAGTAAAATTTTAGGAATTTGTTCCAACTAATGTGTTTAATAAATATTTTAACCTAATTTTTAATCCACAGACGTAGAAAACTCACAGTTCTATTATTAAAATATAGCCAACAAACTTCGAGGTGAAGATGAACACGACAATTTTAATGGCTAAATTTATTAAAAAATTTACTAAGATAACTCTTAATCCTATTTGTTTGATGCTAAAGACTTGAAAGAAACAGAAGGGAACTGAAATCCCATAGCTTTTTGCCACATATAAGCTAGGGCTTCTGCATATTGACACTAGTGGCTTTTTAAAAAAAAAGCTTAATAATCTAAGCAAAAATTATATATTTTAAAAGAAAATAAATAATTTTAAAGTGAGTGCCTTAGGTTTTTTACATGAAAGGTACAGGGTCGGCAATGGAAATTTCCCAAGTGTTGGATTTGCATACTTCTTGAGGAGATTCATCCAAGTAATCCCAAAAATATCTTATTAAATTTAACTTGTTGGATTCCATGTTGGGTATTTGTTACATTATAATAACCATTGTTTTGATGCTTTTTTACAGTCACCATGGACAGGTGTTGTGTTCTAGATAGGTTGTCTAAAAACAAAGTTGATCCCTTCTCCAATTCAACTTTAGAATATAGTTGCATGAAATTTAAAGGAGCATTTTTACTTTCGTAATTGTCCTAATTTAATAATGATAATTATCATTTTTAATCCCATCAATTTAATATAGAATTCCTCGAATGATGTCAATATTATTTTTTTATCGATGAAAATTATCGAATAGTTATATTTTCATGTAAAATTAATAAATTTATATAGTGTAATATATCTTATCCTTTTAAAGTTACTTGATTCTCACGGACTTTACCCGAGTTATTTTTTCTTTTTTTCTTTTTGAGTTCATGTTGTTTTTTTAAATTAAATAAATTTCTTCTTCTTTAATTTTATTTAGTCGAATGTGACATTGATTTTGATGTTGGTTAGTAGATGTCAATTTTCTCTTTTTTTGTTTCTTTTTTAGTTTTGTAATAAGAATAATTTTGTATTTATGATATTTTTTTATCTTTGTAACATGCTTTTTGTCTTCTTTTTCGGTCGTTTGATTGTTCTTTTTATATTATGCTTTCTAAGGGTTGGATTTGATGATGTCATGATTGATCATAATAGTGTTTATTTGTAATCTTGTTAATCTTCCCTATTATAGACTCTCAGATTTAATTTGGATATGATATTTTGCATTCATTAATAGTTTCTCACGACATTTGGCTCCGATTAGTGATTATGGTGATCTTTTAATAGCTTAATCCCTTTTTGTGATTCGTTTGTCGATACAATCAAATTTTTTATTATCTATTTTTCGTTTGACTCTTTAAGCTGAGTTTTTAATATTTTTTTATGTATGATCTTTATATGATTTAAAGCGACTGGTTTCAATATTATAAAAAAATATTAAAATTATATATTTAGTTTTCCATTCTAATATTGATTTTGTAAGTTTTTAATGCAAAGCTTTCGGTTGAGTCATAAGTTCACTAGAACTGGAGCTAATTATTAAATGTTGATAAGATTTAAAGCTTTTGGTTTAGATAAGATACATTTAATTTCATCGTTCTTTGAGATTAAAAAATTAGGGTAAAATACATGTATGGTTCGCTAACTATAGCATAATACTTTCTTAAGTCTCTCGATTATTAAAAGTTACAAAATAGTTTTTCGATTATAGAGTGTTTTTGTTGAGTCCCTCGATCATCAAAAGTTACAAAATGGTCATTCGACTATCGACTATTCATTATGTTTCAAATTCGTCATTTTCTGTTAAAAATTGACAGTGTCTATATTGGACGTTAACTTGCTGAATGTGATATGATAAAATCTAATCCTAGAATTTCAAACGGCTATCACATCTCAGTCATCATGTTAACGTCAAACTTAGACAACTGTAATTTTTAATGAAAAATGATGAATTTGGAACATAATAAATAGCCGAGTGATCATTTCGTAACTTTTGATAGTTGATGATCTCAACAAAGTAACATTATATAGCCATATAATTATTTTATAATTTTTAATAATTAAAAGACTTAATAAAGTATTATCTTATAATCGGAGACTATTTTATAATTCGAATAATAGTTTAAAAATCTTTTTACAGTTAACCCTAAAAAGTTAATATATATAAAAAAAAAGTTTCCTAAAATTTCCTTTAAAAAAATCCCGACCTAGTTTCTCAGTACATTCTGAAACCCTAATCTTAATTTCTGACCCGAAATTAATTGAGGTAATTTCTGAAACCTTAATCTTAATTTGAAGATTGGTTTCTTGTTTGATGTGCTTTTTGAACTTTTGCGGTATCCATCCGCTGCTGTTGGTGTGAAATTTTGTTCACGCCGCTATTTAGGTCTTTAGAGGAGTCGGACGGCGCCCCGCACCGTCATTTGAAACCCTTCTTTTAATGATTTAAAACTAATTCTTGTTTTCCTTTTATGTATGCAGATGGGGAAGAAAAAGAATAAAACTTTGGATGAACCCGAATTGACAATTGATATAAAGTCAATGTATCATGAAAATGCTTTGTTCTTTGACAAGTTGGTGGATTTAATCCCTGCAAGGTTTTATCTTCCTGATGAAAAGGATAAGCCTTGGTTTCAGGGTCTTAGCAAGGCTGAAAAGGCTTCTGCCAAGAAACAATCTAGGGAGAACGTTAAGAAAGCTCGCAGAGATAGGTTAGATCCCGAGAAGTCGACGAAATCGACTCTCCGTTTGTTGAAGGAGAATTTGGAGAAGGATAAGAATAAGGATAGTGATGGTGAGGAGGAAGAAATCGAGGTCAGGCCTATAATGTCTGATTTAGACGGTGGCGAGGAACGGTCGGTGACTTACGAAGAACTTAGGGAAAGGCTCCGTAGGAAAATCGAAGAGCTTCGGGGTGGTAGGAATACTGCTGGTTCAGATAAAGGGAAGAAGAGGAAGAATGAGAGGAATGATAAGAAGGGTAATGTTCAAAAGAAGCAAAAGAGGTATGATGGCGGTGCTGAAGAGAAGAAGGTGGATGCAAGTAATGATGAGGAAAAAGTAGGGAAGGACGTTGAAGAGGCTGCAAAGGAACTTACTTTTAGTCGTGTTAAACTCGGGGATGACGATAACCATGGGAAGAGGAAGAAGAGAAAACTTTCAAAGTTCAAGGAGCTTGAAAATGCGAGGAGATTAGAAGAAGCTAAAAATGATCCCGAGAAAGGAGAGGTTGTCGCGAAGAAGCATTCGTGGAAGGCAGCAATGGACAGAGCCGCTGGGATTAAGGTCCACGATGATCCGAAGTTGTTGAGACAGAGTATTCAGAAGGAGAAGAAGAGGCACCAGAAGAATGCCGAGAAGTGGAATGAGAGGGTCGAAACGACCGAGAAGTTGAAAGCGGAGAAACAGCAAAAGAGATCGGAGAATATAGCCGACAAGATTCACCAGAAGAAGATGCGGCGAATCGCAAAGAGGGAGAAGAAGCTGTTGCGACCAGGTTTCGAAGGTCGCAAGGAGGGTTTCATCAATGGGGAGTCAGCCTAAGGTTCTTTTCTTTCAAATTTCCGCATAGCCCTAGAGGTTTCCATTTACATCATGTCATGGTTCATGTAAGGTTACATGTTAGGAAGGCCGTTCTTACAATTGCTTTTCCTTTGTTTTTTATTCCACCTAGAGAAGATGAATGTTGCTTAAGAACCAAGTCCGGATTAATATACTGAGAAGTATTGGATTCTGATTGTTTATGGCCTTGAATCTTGGAAAAACTAAGAAAAGAGAAGTGACTTGTGCATATTTTGTTGGCTGCTTTTGGCTTTTATTCCCTTGGTCGTTTGAGGCATTTAATTGTTAACTGAATCAAATATCCAAGTGCCATCATCTTTAAACTCATTTAATCCTTCTTGTTCATGAAGTACCCTTTCAAGGATTTGGTCCAATTAGTTCATGAAGTTTCTCTTCCGAGCTTGGTGCAGATGATTCATCATCCCAGAAAGGGTCCAATTGATTCATGCATGTATTCACCTTTAAGATGTCCATTCATGTAGCCATCTTTAAGAGCTTATGTTCATTCATCTGTTAGCCCTCATGTGGTTTTGAGAAACTAAAACAGGGCCGACAGATGATCCAGAAAACAATAGTTATTACATGTTTTAATTGATTTTAAACTCCTGCTTGATTCTTTTGAAACATAATTATGTTCTTGAACTTATGTTTTCATCTATGGAACACCAAGTTTGCAGGGAAATAATGTCTGGTTTAGAACAGAACACACAATGTTACCATTAGAAAAGACCAGAATCCTTGTTACAAACCAGATATGCTGCAAATCCATGTCCAATCATAGGAACATGAAACTGATTCAACTGCAAACGAAATTACATATTTAACTGGGTTACACTGTAGTCCTTATCAAACCCTGGACCCCATCACACCGGTGCCTGCCTTTGGCCCTGGTTCGTCCGCCTGTCCTCGCATGCCGTAGTCGGTATCTCGATAACCTGGTCCATACCTGCTGCTGTATACACCGGCATGGATCAGTAACACATACAAAAGCTGAGTGAATGCGAGGATTATTATGAATGCTTCCAGTATTCTGAGCCTCCATCCTCTCCACCCTCCTATGTTTATATGCTTGCAAGCAAACCTGCAAATCGAGTAACCGTATCTTCTTATACTCGTATCCGATGCATTAAAACAATCAAAACGAAAATGGTATAAAAAATGAATCAAAACGAAAATGGGGAATCGAAAGTTCACCCAAATGCAAGTGCGGTCAAGGCCCAAGCAATGAGTGCAGATGATCCAGCTGCAGCCAAACTATCACTTCTCCATGACCTAATATGATGTCCTCCTGCAAACTTCGATACTATGCCTACAACGGCAGCCAATATCGAAAACGTCAAGAAGAAACCCGTCGCTCCATTTCCACCCATACCTGAAAAACGAACACGAATACATATTACAATAGTTATTTCACGAATTCAATTTCTTAAACACCATCGAAGACGAAAAAAGTATTCGAGTAAAATCACTTGGATGATGAGTCTGGCCATCGATAACCCTATTAACACACCAACTAGCAAACCCCAACACGATGAAATACATAACCAAGTTGAGGAACAACAAAGGAGCTGCTACATTTCTCCCCACAGTAGCCATTTCAGAACAAAACCCAAAAAGAATACAGATGACGATGATGATCCTTGTCTCGGACAAAGCTTATATTGTTGTTGTAAGAGCAAGTGGATGTGTTGGGCTTGTCAAGTGGGAGTCTAATATAGACGAAGATGGTGTAAAAGAGAATGGTGGAATGCACACGTGTAAATCAAAGAGGCAATGCATGGAGAGGAACAAGAAACAGGTGGAAGGACACTTGTCGAAAATGGTGTTTTTTACGATTTCCAAGGGATGGGGGTTCTGAATCCGGAAGCTTTAGGAATTTGGAAGACGGTGGGTGGTGCAATATATATCCGGTTGTTGCAGAGAATAATATTTATTATTATTATCCCAATAACTATATTAATTTAATAACTCAATCCATTTAATATTGTACCCTCACATTTATGAGATAAATACAAGGTAATATTATTATTATCCCCTAACTATCCGGTTTGTTTTATTTTTTTTTATTAATTTGAGATAAGTACAAGATAATATTTATTCAAAGATATCTATCAACCATTTAACATTGAACGCTTACAATATTGACATTTCTGGTGCTCGAACTCGAAACCTCAAGAAATAATAATTCGTTACTACTGACGTCACACGGTTCGTAGTTTGAGGGTGTATGTAGAAAATTTTCATTAAGAAATTCCCACCGAAACTAAATAAATACATTTGAGTGTTCATTACAAAATAATTTTAAAATTTTAAAATAAATGGCTGTCCTTTTTTTCTCATATGTATGGGATAAGGGGAGATAAGATAGTAGACTGCCCCCAATACCATATTGAGAGCAACTTTCGTAGAAGACCTCCGAATTATGAAATGCCCTCCGTGGGACTCGATCCCACGACCTCAAAGTTAAGAACCTTGTGCTCTACCAACTGAGTTGGATATTCATTTCAAAAATTTTAAAATAAATAATTCTTTATAATCATTTGATTTAATAAAAAAACTATTAATTGATTATATTAGTCCTAACAAATTAATAGCACTTTAATATAAAAATACCTCACAGATTAAATTTGTATTCAGTGATAAATATTTTACTGTTTAATTATACAACACAAAAATACTATAATTATATATAAATCCTTTATCATTTCATGTCTCTATCCGAAATTAATTTTGAAAATTGAAAAATAGTAACTAAAAGTATAAGGTATAAATAAAAAGAAATGTACAAATGAGAAATTTAAATATTAAAAAAATGATAATTAAAAGTAAAAAGATTAAATTGAAAGGAATGTAAAATCGATACTTTTTGCATGTTTAACATTTCAATTGTTGATGTTAGTGGAAAACGATGGAGAAAATATTTTTCCCTTTACTTTTACTTATCTCAAACAAACATAATTGGTATCTAATGTTTAAATAAGTTTTTATTTTTTTATTAAAATTTTAAGATTAATGAATTAATTATTTGACGTTATCAATTTATAATAAATTAATTAATTGTCGTTACTGAAGATAACATAATGTTGATACGACACTTTACAGTCACGTTAACTACGTTTCTGAATTTAATAAAGTATTTTTTTACAGTAAAAATGTGGTCTATGTGATTGTAAAGTGTCACATCAACATTCTATTATCTTCAATAACGATAGTTAACGATAAATAACTGATTTATTATAAATTAATAATTTTAGTGATAAATTTCTTATAAATTGGTAACGTTAATGAGTGAACTTCAGAGGAAAAAAACAAAAATCTACTCAAATGTTAGTGATCAATTGTATAATTTACCCTAAATTTAATATTAATTGCATCAAACATTTCAAATTATGGTTTTAAGTTTAAACTGGTTTTAAAATTCTAAAATGTTATGATTGAATCATCGAAACTATTAGCATTATTTCAATTTTCAATCAAGACCATATATTAGTCTAGAAACTCGCTTGAACATTAAATATTAGCTCGAATATAATGTCTAATATGTTTATAATTATTTCATAATAATTTGATATATTTAATCATTATTGCACAAATTAAGTGGCCTCGATAGTAAATGAATTGTTGTTATTTCTGATGACTCGAGTTCGAGTACCATAGATGTAAGGTGTGTGAGCATTCAATGTTGAAAGGTTTAGAATTATCTTCAAACATATGTTGTCTTGCACTTACTCGGATTATTAAAAAATAATTTATATTCATTATGTTGCAAAGTCGTTCTTTTCCGTTAAAAAATTTGATAGTATTTTGAACCGAATTTTAATCTGTTGACTGTGATATAATAAAATCTAATCCTAAAATCTCAAATATTATACGTCTATCTCAGATAAACAATTTTTTTAACAAAAAAAAAAGATGAATTTAAAACATAATAAATAATAATAATTAAGTGATAATTTTTAATAATTATGAGATATAAAAAATAACATTCTATAATTGAATTATCATTTATCTACTTTATCATAATTTAGTAACAATTTAGTTTCATTATCAATCCAATCGTTATAAGCTTGAAATACTTTTTTTTTCTTTGCAAACGAAAAGAAAATGTCTTGATTGGCTCACCCGGCCTCCCATATTCCGCCATGGGAGCACCTGAGAACCACCAACTAAATCCATTCAGACTTTAACGACCCTTTTATAAGCTCAACTAACTACCAAATGGGTTCTCTTCTGCCTTTCCAAGACCTCAATCTCTGCCTAGAACCACCGCAAACCGCCACCATCCCAACCCCCTCCGCCGTGAGCTCCTCCACCACCACCACCACAACCACCTTCAATTTCTTAACTCCTAAGATTGAGCCTAAACAAGAACCTTTCGACGAACCAACACCAACCCAGATTATTCACCAACAAGAAAACTTCCTCTTTCCCGTTTCCAATTCTACCCCTGATTTCATTCCTGATCCCGAAACTACCCCTCCGTCCAACGTCTCCTTCTCTTCCGATGACCAAAACGCCCTTTACTCCGAATACTTCCGTATCTCCGAGCTCTTCCGCTCTGCTTTCGCCGAAAGGTTGCAAAAATACGGCGACGTTGAGGTGCTTGACCCGGATTCTCGGGCCATCGTATGCGTACCCGAACAATCTCAACTAACCCCCGAAACCAGCCCAACCGACAGCTCCGACCCCGAACGAGCTTTATCCGTCGTCGTTTCACGTAAGAAGGCCTGGAGATCCAATGAGCTGGTTCGGGTTACAAATTTAGGATTTGAAGATCAGAGGCATTTCCGGGAACTCTTCCGAAGAACCCGAATGATATACGATGCCCTCCGCATCTTAGTCTTTTCGGAGGAAGAGAAGAGAACAGGACGGGGACACGGTCGACGGGCTCGCGGCGATTTGAGGGCGGCTGCGGTCATGAGGGATCGGGAACTGTGGTTAAATCGAGATAAAAGAATAGTGGGTGCACTCCCGGGTATTGAAATTGGTGACGTATTCTTCTTCAGAATGGAGCTTTGTGTGGTGGGTTTACATGGACAAGTTCAAGCTGGGATTGATACCTTGCCTGCGAGCCAAAGCACGAGTGGAGAGCCAATCGCCACCAGCATTATTATTTCCGGCGGGTACGAGGATGATGAAGATTCCGGCGACTCAATAATCTATACCGGTCAAGGTGGACAAGATAAGTTGGGGAGGCAATGTATGCATCAGAAGCTTGAAGCAGGGAATTTGGCACTAGAAAGGAGTATGCATTATGGGATTGAGGTAAGAGTGATTAGAGGGCTCAAATATGAGAATAAAGTTTCAGCTAAAGTCTATGTTTATGATGGTTTATATAAGATTCTTGATTGCTGGTTTGATGTGGGGAAGTCGGGTTTTGGGGTTTATAAATTTAGGCTGTCGAGAATTGAGGGACAACCTGAGATGGGTAGCTCGATAATGAGGTTTGCCGAGAATCTTAGGACTAGGCCTTTGTCTGCTAGGCCAACGGGGTATTTGACTCTTGACATTTCCATGAAAAAAGAGCGAGTTCCGGTTTTCCTTTATAACGATATCGATAGAGATCATGATCCTATGTATTACGATTATCTTGTGAACACTGTGTTTCCTCTCAATACATTTGGTCAAGGGAGTAATGGTACTGGATGTGAGTGTGTTTCGGGGTGCACGGAAGGGTGTTTCTGTGCTATGAAGAATGGAGGTGATTTTGCCTATGATCACAGTGGGATTCTCTTGAGAGGCAAACCGGTGATATTTGAATGTGGGAATTTCTGTCGGTGCCCACCAACTTGTCAGAACCGTGTTGCACAGCATGGGTTGAGAAATAGGTTGGAAATATTTAGGTCAAGGGAAACGGGCTGGGGAGTGAGGTCCTTAGACTTGATAGAGGCAGGTGCTTTTATATGTGAATACACAGGGGTTGTTCTAACAAGGGACCAAGCTGAAGTTTTCAAGATGAATGGTGATACTTTGATTTACCCCAATCGCTTTTCTGAACGATGGGCAGAATGGGGGGACTTGTCCAGGATATTTCCAGAATATGTGTGTGCATCTTATCCCTCAGTTCCGCCTTTGGATTTTGCAATGGATGTCTCAAGGATGAGGAATGTTGCTTGTTATATTAGCCATAGTTCCAGTCCAAACGTGCTGGTGCAGTGTGTGTTGTACGATCACAACAACTTGATGTTCCCTCACCTTATGCTTTTTGCAATGGAGAATATCCCTCCTTTGAGAGAGCTTAGCATAGACTATGGTGTAGCTGATGAATGGACTGGGAAGCTTTCTATCTGTAACTAAATATCTAAGAGGATTTCTGGATTTTGATGTGGTGTAGCGGGGCAGTGAGACATGATATGCTGAGGTGAGCTCCACTCCAATTGCTGCAAGCATTTCCAGTTGTGTATATTCATTTAAAATTATAATAATTTGTGGCATACCCATCTTATCTTTAGATGTTGCTGTTGATTTTTTATTTCTCATGCTCTCTTATAGTCTAGTTGCTTGCCATGCTTGTTTGTAGGAGCTAGGCTTAGGAATTTATTCCTTTGTGCAACTTCATGGTGTATACATCAAGTAGTAGTCCATATGCAGGAGGATGGAACATTTGACACGTAATACTGCTAAATGAATGTTGTTGCTTATCTCCTAAGCGCATTTTGTTTTGTTTCCCTTTTCTAGTTTAAAAATGATGTAGTTCCTACCATTTAGTATGACAGTGGATTGTCAGATCATCTGTTATGTGAAACATTAACATCAAAAGACCTATATAGGAAAGCTAAGTTTTTTTTAGAATGTAAAATCAACTTTTAATGTGTTTCTTGATAATGCCATATGTTGCTCACTTCACTGAATTTCTGCAGGTGGGGATCATACTATGCATCTAAAACTTTTTGTTGTAGCCGTGTTATCATTATAGTAAGTTCATTATGTCTATTAGCAGTTAACTCAAGTGAATTTTTGCAGGTGCCAATCAGATCGAACAATGCATCCAAAACAGCTTTCTTTGAACATTTTGTACCTCACCACTTTCTCTGAACGTTGTTTTATGCCTCCCTGGAATCATGGTTTTACCTATTTTCTTTGCGTTAGGTCCATCCCTGTCTATCGTTATAACGTAGGGAAACCTCTGGTTTCTACTGCAATATGCCGCTGACATCACTCTATGATCTTTTTCGACAAAAGTCACCGTATGCTTTTGTAAGAATGTACTATGAACCCTAAACTTAAATCTTCCTCTTTTACTTATGTGTATACAAGTGAAGGTTGAGAAAGGACGTGTTTGTACAGTAATGTATTTGAAGTTGAAATCTCCAGTGTTTCGTTCGTTTGAATCTTCTCAATATGGATGAATTCAAAGAGAACTACTTCTGTTTTCTACTTTACATTAGGGTGTAATCGAATTGTCTGTTCTAACGTGATCATTTATCTGTTACTATTGAGATACGAGTATTATGTTTGACACAGTTGTATACGATTTCTAACCTTTATATTCGTATCCGGGTACAACTGACGGCAAAGTTCAACGGTGTTACAGTATATCAGTGGTATATATCCACTGATATGGAGTTATTTATTTCATATCCTTACATCGCCTACTTATATTCATGTCTCTGTCCCCCGATATTAAGGGGGCTGCCTAAGCTCGAGAGATGACCATCAACTTTAGAAAACCGAAGATCCAAAGATCAATCGGTTTCACCTCTGGTTCCGGTCTTTATTCTTTGGTGACTTGGGTTCCATTTTTCTCCAGCTCCCTTTGTCGAGCTCGCTCCATCTTCCTTTTCCGCCACTCTTCTAAAGCTGCAAACGTCGTTAGATTGATTACAAATTTGCAATAAACTATCATACTTTAGGCAAAAGCTTTGCCACGATCCTTGGCAAGATCGGGTTTTTCATTTTTCATAAAATATCAGAATCAAACATTGATTCAAACAGCCAGAAACGCCAATCACCTTTCAAGCTGGAAGCATCATTTATGGAACGGAAGTCCTGCAATCTTTTGGAAAGATCGACTGCGGCAGTCTGCTTTGAATCTTTAGGTTGGATTGTTTCGGGATCAGTGTATACTTTCTGCTGAATCTCCTTAACCTAAAATAACCCGAAAATTTAACCATGAAGAACACCATCGTCTACTATATGTAATTGTTCGAAAAACTTTTTGCAGTTCATCTCAATTACACTCACAATGCAAGATACCCATTTTAAAGGAATTAATAATCGCCATCTATGTTGATTCTGTTCATTTTTTTTCTGCAACTAACACATGAAACGTACGAAAAATTGAATTGCATGTCGGATATACCCCGTATCTGATACCGCAATAGAATCCAAGTACCATAGTATAAACAAGAGGAGAGAATAGTAAAGTAAATACTTATGTACTCGAACTCGGGTGTAAGTGTCGAATGCAAGTGTGTGAGGCCTCCCATGTTTAATCAAATTTTTTACCTAGTTAAGAGTCTTTGGAAGATTTTATCCTTGTACTCACGTCTAAATATGTATCGGACTTGAATTTCAGATGCAAATACTTTAAGGGAAAAAAATGAAGAATACGAACGCCAAGCCTAAATACGAGCGACTCTTTATATACGACATTGCTTTATGTACACGATGAGTTGAAGCAGAGATTTAGGGTTCATGGTATTCTTACTCTTTCTATCAGCTTGAAAGGTTGCATGGCAATGCGCATATCTTCAGCTTCCTTAACGTAATCGAAGCTGACTGCATCGAAAACATTAATCAACATCCTTTGTTTAGACATGAACAATCATGAAAAGAGAAATAACCAAAACAAAAAGGCCAATTTCTATCATTCTTCAGCAGTTTGTTCATTAGAGTCAAACCTCATCCAAGAGGGAGAGATGCAAGAAATCTACCTTTTCTTACTATGTTATCCGGATTAGGGTGAATGTATGATACGAAATATTGATTTCTTTCTAAGTTTTCTCGTATATTACTGTGTCGGATATAGTTGACATACACTTGATGCTTTGAAGGAGATGGATTTTCATGTAGGTGATTAAATAACAAGAGAGAATCTACCCAGATAAACGAGGATGAATTCGGATTTAAAACCAAATGAAAACCCTAAATTTGCAACTCCTGATGAATGCAAAAGCCACAAAATTCCCAGATCCTATCAACCAGCATCAACAAATTCAGTATCCAAAACCTGAAGAAATCCCATTTCACAAACGAAACCCAAATTTGAACTTCCAATATCAAAAACCCTAAAATCAAACAAATACCCATGATCCAAATTTCCCAAACCCCACTTAAAACACAAAGAACTACGTGCAGAAGCAACAGCTTCATCAGAACAAGCAAAATCAACAACCAGCCAAGTTTTTCCCCCTAAAAAAATGCCAAAATCATCAAACCTAATGTTTCAAATCAAAGGAAAAAACTGGGTTTAGCTTAGTTAGTCTATACGATCATATCTATAACCAAAATTCAACAGATATCAGATTCAAACCATAGCATATGCAACTAAAAACACAAAACACAAAAGAAATATAAAAAAGAGAGAGAACCTGAATTGGGTTGATTAGAAGATGATCTGGCACGAGAGGAAGAAGAAGAAAGAAAACGTTGAAGCAAGAAGAGAGCAACAAAGAGATTGAAGATATTCAAAGCTATGGTCGCATTCTTGAAAGATAATCTTAATCTCCAAGATTGCTGTATCTCCATTTTTCTTTGTTTCTCTCTGTGTAGTTTTTGTGGTTTGGTCCCTAATTATATATCATCAAACTTCGAGCTTTATTGGTGAAACTATGGGTATGTGTCGAGTGCTACAGTATTTCATTGGCTCATGAAAGACAGTAAACACGAACATCTGTTTTAACTTTGACTGCAAAGTTTACTTCTGTTCATGTCTGATTCTGACATATGGTTCTGAGTTTTGACTCGCTGATTTTTACCCGAAATTATTGCAGAGATTAATGGGAAGATCATACATTATAATATACGGTTCCCGTTAAAGACGTGTGAATTGAGTGACACTTAAGACTCAAAATCCAGGCTTCAGCATTACTTGCATGTATGCATAAATTTAAATTTAAAGATTTCTTTTAAAAAAATTTATTTATGGGTGTTTTAGAGAGATAAGAACACTTATGTTACAAAAATTGTCTATTTGTTCAATATATGTTTTCAATGAGAATCATCATGTAGGCGCACTCTTTTTCTCTATTTTAATTTAGGGAAGTTTTTTAACGAGATAATATCGATTTTTTTGTTTTGTATGTGTTATAATTTAATCATACAAAATATCTTTACCGAAAAAATGTTTTCAATGAGAAAATATATTTGTCTACACATTATTCATGTTCGTTTGTTTACTTTTAAAAAATATTTATGTTCAATTCAGTTAATGTTCGTGAATATGTTTATTTAACATTATCTGCTAACATCATTAGGTATTTATCTTACTTTTACAAGCCAAAGAAAAATGGTGAAATTATGACACTAGCCCTTAAGCTTCACAGTTTGAACTTCAAAGTTCATCATATGTTCAATTTAATATCCACCTTCACCAATATTTAAAATATAAAAAAAGAAAAGAAAAAATGAGAACCGGATAAACGAGCCGATAAAAAAAGTTTGTTTGTGAACATAAACAAAACATAAACAATTCATCTTCGTTTATTTATTAAACGAACATAAAAGTTTTGACCATACTCGTTTATTTAACCCAATAAACAAACATTATACGAACGACTCACCAACAATTATACCCCTATTCATACCTTGCTCTGACTTACTTTTTAAGTCTTCAGGCATTCACATGAATATCTTTATTTGTGTTTCAGGTAACTTTCTACTGAATTACAGACCAAGGTAAACATCCTTGCCTTTGCTCCTATGCTGGTTGATAAAGTCAACAAAAATCGTATGGATATCAGATTGTTAAAATATTAATCGTAAAAAGCAGATTAAAGCATATAAAATTCACTAATATAAATAAGTCTCTCTTTTATATATACAAGCTTTTTAATCATATTGTCATGCTCACTTGCGTTGAAATTTGTATCATATACAAATTGTAAAGTTTGTTCATGCCAAGAGCCAGAAGTTTTTTTGGGTCTTGGAGTTGAGGACATAGCCTCCATTTTGTCCCTTCTTCTGCACTGCAACACATGTGCATGGGCTGTTCTCGATCAAATACTCTACTGTGTCTAACAGTTTCGATGATGCCTTCGAATTCCCGGTCGGCCGCTTGTATCTGCAAACGGAGAAACCATCGTCAACAAGTGTTCAAGGATGTTGCTCCGATGTTATAACGGGAGAGGCGGTGATTAAAAGTGGTCGAATAGCTTGAAAAAGATGATAGATTAGTAAGTCGATCATCATTTACCTCTTTTGATTTGGAGAGAAAATCATTAATCATAGTAACGTAAAATCATGATGAGCATTTTGAGAGTCGTCGTCTATGCTCTCAAAATGCCTACCGCACACAGCTTCCATACTTGTTAATGTATAACGAAAGTGATAATGACTAAAAGCGGTCGAACAAGTTGAAAAAGATGATAGATTAGTTAGTCAATCACTATTTATCTCTTTCGATTTAGATAAAAAATCATTAATCATAGTGGCATAAAACCATGGTGAGCATTTTAAGAGTCATTATCCATGCACTTAAAATGCCTATCATGCATGGATTTTAAGCCATTATAACTATTGTTTTCTCGTTCAAATTAAAAAGGATGAATTACTACCGAAGCTTACTATCGTCTACTACGAATTTTAAAGGAAAGAAGATAGAAGAGAAGGACATGGAACTTACCCAAGGATGGCGGAAGAGAGACTTCGTTTTTGGCCAATTATAAGAAGATCAATTCCAAGATCTTTGGATTTAGAAAGGATGACATGAGCCTTATCTTTACCATGATCCATCTCAGTTTTCTCTATACGTACAGGTATATTAGGCTGAGCAATCTCGCATGCGTATTTCATTTGGTCAAGAAAATTCACGTCTGTTGAAGCCGTATCGAGTCCGAAAATCTGCACCGGGGCAATGGCACTGGGACCGGCACTGGAAGCAAGGCTCGGCCGCCTCAGGAAAGTAGACAATGTGTTCTTCCACGTGCATTGGTTCTCGACATGGAAAAGGATGAGCTCGTCTTGTTCAAGCAATACATGGGAAAGTGCGTATTGGAGGGCCGCCGCGGAATGGGGAGTAGGGTCAGCTACCACCAATACTTTCCGAGCCGGTGGACTCACCATTAATGGCCCTCAAAACCAGCAGCAAAAATGCGCCAGAAAGAGAGAGGGCTGGGGTTGAGGTGGAAACAATGGCACGTAATATGAGGCTGTCATTTTGGTGGTGGTGAGCTTTTCATGAAAGTTTACCAATTTAACAAATGGTTTGCTTTGATTTTGTGATTGATGGCCTTGAGCTATTTCTGGGATTTTGATCACTGCTTTCTGCTTGTTTTTGCTAATTTTGGCGAATCCACTAGACCTCGTCAATTCCAACAAGATTCGAGATTGAAGTCTCGAATTTGGTGTCGAATAAAAATAGTCCACTTGATTAATTGTTCATTTCATTTATATTCATGAACAAACTCGCTTATCGACTCATTTATCATGTTCTCATTTTCCTTTTGTTTTTTTAAATTTTAAATATTGATGAAGGTAAAGACTGAATTGAACATATAATAAACTTTGGAGTTCAAATTGTAAAGCCTAAGAAGCTCAAGGACCAGTGACATAATTTTACCATTTTTATTTTTACTACTTTCTAAGAAAATAAACGAAAAAGTTCGCGAATGCTAAATGAATATGTTTGCGAACACAAACATATTTAAAAATAAACAAACAAACATGATATTAAAAATCTAAACGAATACAAACCGAATATAAACATCTTCAAAAACAAACAAACGAACACTAACATAACCTTATTTAATCAAATCCGGTTCATTTACACCCCTACTTGAAAGTATAAAAGATATTGTGATTCAAGTTCATACATAATGGTTAGTAATCACAATTAGGGTTTCCTACGACGATAATAATGTTTCCGTTAAGAACAGGAAGCTACAACATGTTAAAACATTAAAGTTCTAATGCTTCCGTTAATGTCAACAATACAAGGGGACTTCAATAGGAGCTCTCCTTTTTGTTTCTTAGACGTATCTTCGCATTCGGATAAATTACCAGCCACAATGAACATAGAATAGTACTTCAAGGACTTACATTCATGTCATTTGCCAGGAAAAGAACATCCTGCATGCTCAGCCCCATATTTTCATACCTACGACGCTTCATTTCGGGAAGTTCAGGCAAAGAGTTGAGAATGCTATCGACATATTCCTGAGTGAGAATAACTTCAGGGAGGTCTGGTTCAGGGAAGTATCGATAATCAGAAAGTCCTTCCTTTTTCCTCATCGTAACCGTTTTCTACAAAAGGGAATAGAGGTTTGTGGAGTACATAAGTAACAACAAGGTAAAGGGTCAGTCATATATCTTAGACTAGCACTAACTTGATATTAAAATGCAGCCTAACCTGAGCGCCTTCTTCCCATAGACGAGTTTCTTGTACAATTTGATCGCCTTGACCTTGACTAAGAAGTAGCGCCTGCCTCGATATCTCAAAAATCAATTGCCCTATTCATCGATGAAAATGAGTTCAAAATTTTCATTTCAACCCTGCAATTGCAAATATAAGGTTATCTGTGTCAGATACCGAAAATTTTACGAACTCCATGCTGTTTCTTTGCTCTATAAATGGGATAGAATGATGCAACTGTCTTAGAGCTAAGTATTAATTCATAACCACAACAAATATTCAGGCTTAACAAAACCATAAATCTCATTAATTCAAGCACAGTAGTTTAAGCAACTTTTGTTTCAAACTCTGATTGTCCAATTGGCCGAATTGATACATTTATGTCACAGCGAAGTAAGCCTTTTTGCATATTTCCATTGCTAATTCCCAAGTATCGAACCACCCTCTGCAATTCTGCCGCATATTCAGCAGCTTCAATGCCGGTTCTCATATCTGGGTCGGAAACTATCTCAAGCAAAGGCACCCCTGCTCTATTTAGATCAACCTGCAAAAGGTAACCAGCAAAGGAATCGAATTGCATTTCCAGAAGTGAAAAAAAAAACAATATACTATATTAGAGAAGTAATTACCTGCCCCATTTCCAGAATGAAGCAGCTTCCCTGCATCCTCCTCCATGTGAACCCGGGTAATGCCAAACTTCCTATGATCACCACCGAACTCAAGAGGGAGATCCAAATCAACGTAACCACTGGTTGCGATTGGGGATATCAAATTGAGATATTTGGTAACCCTTTGGAAGGTCTTGATAGTTCTGCTTTCTATCAAACTTCGAGTTTAGAGATAGCTTGCAATTAAGCGCAAGTCTCAATTTCACCGCGAATTCAATCACTTTCGAGTTTAAAATCGGCAAGGCACCAGGCAACCCCATGCAAATGGGGCAGATATTGGTATTTGGTTGGGATCCATAATTGTAAGGACAGCTACAAAACGCCTTGGTGAGAGTTGAAAGCTGGACATGTGTCTCTATTCCGATGATTGCCTCGTAGTCTCTTGCGATCTTATCGACTGTTTTCTTCAGAGCATGTTGTGGAACTTTGACTTTGGGAGGCTGCTGCATTTCTTTTGTAGCAGTTTGAGATTGAGAACTTTTCATCGTGCAGTAAAGAACACCATTCCTTCTGCTAAATAACGCAGTTGGGTAGAGCAAAGACGGGTGGATTTGAATCGTTCTAAACAGTGCGGAAGCCATGTTATTAAATTATTCACTTCAGATATGAAGTCATACACATGAAGAATTCTCTCTGTCTGCAAAACAACAAACAGGTCATCGGCAAGCTGCAATACACCGAGTAGAACAAGAGGAGGCACAAAAAAGCAAACTACGCTTACACCTTAAAACAAACTACAGAGTGGTTCGTTAAATGGTTCATATCTATCTAAGATAACTTAAGAAGTTGATCATGTGAAAGCATAAAAAGGGTGAATATTTATGAGGAATTTTGCAGAACCATAGAAAAACTTTTGGGGATGAACACTGATGATCAGATGAAAAGCACCCGTGAATAGTCCTGAGTGCTTTATGATATGGTTAAACACTCCGGTTTCTTGTTCGACCTGACTACAACCACAAAGTCAAATAGATATCAAATTTCTAATTGAAGTTACCCAAAAATGGATCTTTCCACCGTATTTTCCTAAGAACCAATTCTGTAACCCTACTACAAATGCCAAACTAAGCTGATATAAACAATAATAGCCGAAATAGGATTAAGAACTCAATTTACATTGACTGAAAAGAAATTCCATTTCACAAATTGTCAGATTGATTTGAGAAATATCAAAAAGGGTTCCTCTAATATTTAATTTCAATATAAAAAACCTCATAAATCATAATGAAAAAGTAACAATTGGCAATATATTACAAATGAAATTAAAAGATCTCATGAAGGAAACCTTCAATTAAAATATAAGTTGAAGAAGAACAATCAGGATTACAAGGAATGCGAACAATGATCGAGAAAAAGTGTAAATAAGGCGTTTGTAGAAATTCCTCAATGACCGTCATTATCCTTTCACTGTGTGCAAATGTACATTGGCTTATTACAACAAATGGCAAGTAAGATTTTCAATGGAAAAAGCTCAACAAGCAACGATTTTAAAGGGAACCCATGAAGAAGAAAGGCTTTTTGATGTAATTGATAGAGAAGAACTCCAAGTGGAAGTCTAAAGCAATAACATATTGGGTGCTTGAACCAGACAAACATTTAAAAAGAAGAATACTTTGAAACATTAGTGAAGAAAATTGCAGTTTCAAGAGATTATTAGAAGTGAAAATTTGTGGATAGTGTCGTGCTTATTTGTTTGTGGAAGGAGGCTGAACTGAGAGAGAGAGAGAGAGAGACTGAAATCGGACTTCCAACAGTCATCCAAAACCTTAAAGAATCCACGAATATCAGCGCAATAAATCCAATTTATTATCGATAAATTAAATCTTACGAAACATATGCCATCAAGGTGGGCGTGCCGGAGTGGTTATCGGGCATGACTAGAAATCATGTGGGCTCTGCCCGCGCAGGTTCGAATCCTGCCGCTCACGCTTCCTTTTAAACAACTGTCTTCAACATAGCGAATTTTGTCGGAAGAAAATTCAATTTTTTTTTTTTGAAGAATTAGCTAAGCACACAAGGGCGATGGCGACTTAGTTTCAAGTGAAAACAAGAGACAGAAGATGGTGGTTCATACTTGATACACTATTACACAAGTCATGCACTCGATCAAAGAAAACTTAAAAATTTGAAGTTGTGTAAGTTGATCTTAACTCATAACTTGAATTAAGCTAAAAAAATTTGAAGGTTCATCCGGCGTTGGCCCTTAAAGCCCCTTACTCTAGTCAGGGTACTTCTTCTGCAGGGCTTATACTGCTTGCAGATTCACAAACACCAGGGGAAAAAGCAGCCGCCACCTGCAGCTGCTTAGCTTCCTTGGTGGCAGTTTCTGATAAGGTCTGCATTGACCTAGGGGTGCCTGCTTCGCTTCGTGTTCCTGCTGGAGTAGTTACACCAAGTAGCTCCATGTCCATGGTATGGACTTTAGAGCAAGACAAATCCATGGAAACATTCATCTCTTGTAGAGAAGATCGAAACAACAGGTTTGGAAGGTGATGAGCTTCGCAGATTATGCCACCAACTCCAGCAGCTGATCTCTTCCCTACAACTCCAGTCTCCAGCAGCACTAAGTCGCCGAGCTGTTGGTTTGTCCAGGAAAGATGCAAGTGCAACGACAGCAATCCTGGTTCGAGAAATGCTTCCCCCCTCATCTTTCATTTGTACTCCACATTCTCAGCTGACTGGTGACCATAACTATGTTGAGGCTGAGATTGCATCCGGAACTAGGGGCACACCATGGCGTGTATCTTTTCCACAGCAAGCATTGGAACTTTGCATAACCGGTATGGATTGGTAATCACAAGTCCGATAGATGAGGGATGGAAGCGCTGCCGCAGATACGTTGAGTATTCCATGTTTTCTTAGTTGAAGACCCTGGAATGGTTCCCCCCGCACTTTCGGTTGTTTATCGGCACGGGCCTTCCGGTCTTCGGAATCTCTATTTTGTTTTATCTTGAAGTTGTTTATATGAAATCGTTTGCAATTTAAGAGAAGAAGATATCTTCCTTTGCAGATTGTATTCATTGAAAATGTGAATCAAACATAAAGAAAATGCAGAGGAAATTAAACTTATATACGAACAAAGTAGAATAAAATAATCAGTAATCATAAGCTGTTGCTTCAAGTACAACAAACTATATTTCACGCCAAAAAATAGTTGCAGACTTCTAGGATTCAAACATGGCTGGGTCTGGGATGACCCAACAAGGCTGCGGCTGAATCTTGTCCGAAGAAAATTCAAAAACTGGCTTCAAGCTTCCATCTTTCAAGTTATATATCCCCATATCATGCCCTCCATACAAGTAATCTTCGTCTATTCTCTCCCAACAATCATCACTGAAATAAATGCAATCCTTTTCGCAGTTCAGAAAACACCGAGTCGACACCGAAGCCAACTGATTTCTGCCCAAGAATAGAGCGCGATCACCTAACGTATCCATCTCCACCCACTTGAGCTCCTTGAAATCCATCTTGTAAACATGGAACAAGAATGTCCTGTAAGGACAAACCTTGGGGTGATTGCTGTCTTGTGTCAAATGATCCTGTTCATGAAGCAATGTCCCATCCCAATCCACATAATCCCCAATGAACCTCACCACAAACAAAAGATCCCCACACGATTCAACCAAGTAAAACCCGCTGGTGCAAACATCTCTAAAAGATTTTTCTTTGGCAAGTGACTTGTCGGGAAAAGCAAAAACGAAGTCGGACTTTTTCTTGACATGGTTGCCTCCGATGTGTAAATCCCAGACTTCGATACTGTTTTTGTCGCTCAAAGCATAGAGATGGTTTCGATGACATATAATATCCTGATAGGGTGGATGACTAACGTCAAGAACAGTTCATAATCGCTTCCAATTGCATTATGTGCAATCTCCTCACCATTATTACAAAGCAAAGCCAGACCATAGTTTCCATTGTCGTTGTTTTCTGGTTAGAATCGATTTCTGGATTAAACATTCTCGTACTTGTTTCCTACAAATCTAAACAAAATCCTACGATATCCTTTAAAGACATTGAAGTAATTAAGTTCGAATTTACCATCAACTTTTCTTACCATCTTTTCCAATCCTAGCTGACGATCAACAGAAGGGAGTTCGATCCTCAGTTGCTTGAAAGGATTAAACAGAAACGGAACTGCCTTCTCTTGCAAGAAAACCAACCATCCATGTGACGAACCAATGCAGCAACATTCACTAAACTCCTTCGGCGCCGTCTTCAAGCTATAAAGTCGATTTTCCTTGAGATTCAAAAACCCATGGTAGCCATTGTTGTTAACTTTAATACCATCGTCTTCTTCAACCTGTTTCTTGGACGGAAGCATGAGCCATGGCATCTTTGAAGTCAGCTCGTCTCCAAGTAAGTTCCATGAACAACAAACGGATTTGGCTTGAACAAGATCGTTGAATCTTAACCTGTTGAAGATTGATCTCAAGATATGTGCAGGAAGTTCATCAACCCTTGATGTTGATGGTGATTCCTTTCTTCTTTTTGTCATGGTAGCTTGCACCGTCATTGAAAAGGAAAACAAAAGTATTGGGGAAAAAAGTTTATGTGAACAAAATTTAAAAGAAAAGTAACTTGTGTTACAAGAAACGAGAAAAATAGTTTTTTGTTTCCCAATTAAACTAAACATTAGAATTTGAATTTGGGTTAAAGTTTACTACCACAATTCATATACTAATATGCCAAAATTAAAAAAAAAAAAGACTAAAATGATTTTATTTAAAAAAACTAGAGGGTCAAAAATGTCTGCTTTAGTAATTAAGAAATTCTTCATCGCATCAATGTTCATGTGGATAGCTCCTCTTGCAATCTTGTACGGTTTTAACCATAATTTACTTCCTGGTAAGACCCATTAATTCTTTCGAAACATGGAGCTCTTTGCTGAGTTGAATAATTTAGATGCTGAAAAGGTCTGAAATCTGTATGCTGCTATATTGTATCGGAACTGGTTAGTGTAAAGCTCCCGTTGAGTGCCTTAATAAGAACATAATTTAGCAATCTGTCTACGAGAAAGTAAACACTAACACTATCACTGTTGAAACTTGGAGCTCTTTACTGTTGAATAATTTAGATGCACGAAGCTGTGAAATCCGTATGTTAATTGAACGAGAAACATAATTTTTTTCCATAATAGGTTCATCAAATTTATCTCCCCATGCTATGACACTGGTGAGCGGGTTTGTTGCTGTAATCTTTCGGTCAATATAGTTATTTCATTCTATATCTATATGGCAATGAAGGAACCTGCGGATAAGCATGAGCCGGATCCAAAGTTTCTTGCTGATGCTAAAGCTAGCGTAAGCCAGCCAACGGGGGGAGCTTCAACGTCTTCTGAATCCGTTAAGAAACAAGAATAGAATAGTCGAAGCTACAAGTAATCACAATGGAGAGAATGGAACAATGAGGTCTGTGTTCCATACTTGTGTCTTATGATCAAGAAATTAAGTTCTAATGTTTTTGTTGTATAATTAGACTCATTGCTTTCAATCTTTTCGATATAATTATCGAGTTTTGATCCGTACCTCGTGATTTCGTTTTTTGTTAACTCGTATTGACCTGCATTTCCGAAAGCCGTTAATCTCAAACTTGTATTCTTTAATCCTTATAACCCCAAAGAAAACAAAAGGATTATGAACCCGGAACCGAGCTGATTGACCTTGTTAGCTTTTGGTATACCGGAGCCAACACGAGCAATCCAGTTGTGAAGAAGGAAACGACGAGGATGTAGCTCTAAAGACGATCGAGGGAGAGCATCTCTTCGGTTAATGCAAGGGTTATGGAACCGGAACCGCTAAGGCTTACCTTGAGAAGCAATAGGGAGTTTTCGACATTAGCATTCATATGACCATGTCTTTGAGGAAAGTTTTGTCCGTGTTATTGTGTCGTAATCCGAATTTTCGTTTTGATTTCTAATATCAGATATTTTTTTCAAGTTCGAACTACAAGGAGGCTAAAAAGGATGAAAAGATTTCAGCCAAAAAGGTTAAAATTATAAGAACAATTTAGCATAAGAAATTGCAGAAAAAAGTGTTTTGGTGCTACCATTAGACAGTGACAGTTGAGTCATCAAAGCATAAATAATTCGAAAAATTTGTAATGAAATTGGTTTATTTTAAAGTTGAGCGATAATAATAGAAATTTGGATAAAGTTGAGTGACAAAAAATTGTAGTTTACACTTTATCCTTGGGTAAACTACTCCTTTAGTATCTGAACTACCAGTTTTGATCAGTTTTAATACCTAAAATTTCAATTATTTCAAAATCATACCTAATTTTTAGCTTTGTTTCATTTTGGTACCTCACCGTTAAAAACTTAATCTTTTTATTACCTAAACTATCAGTTTTGGTTCGTTTTAGCACCTAAACTTTCAATTTTGTTCAAAACATAACGTTAACTTTTAAATTGAGTACTAAAATGAAACAAAAAGTAAACTTTAAGTATGATTTTAAAAAAATTGGAAGTTTAGGTACTAAATCGGATCAAGACTGATAGTTTAGGTCTAAATGAGTAGTTTACCCTTTATCTTTTGAAAATTCATGGAAAGGGCTTAAGTGGGAATTATATTGGAAAGGGCTGGTGTAGTTTTGCGTGTGTATTTCTCTCTCTGCTCGCGCCGTTTCCATTCCCTTCTTTTTTTTCACTGGAGAAACAAACAGAAAATCAACTACAATCCCCCTTTTTTACCGTTTCCCTGGTAAAGTAACTAAGAGCTGAATCTTATGGCTTCCTCGTTGGTTTCTCCTTCCCCAGTTTCTTCATTCATCAGGAACAAGGTCAGTGCTTTCAATTACGCATTTTATGATTTTGATTGGTGTAGTTATTTCGACTAATAAGGAAAAAAACCCTTTTTATGGCCAGGAGGGTTCGGGCTTTTCTTCTTTTCCTTCAACATTTCAAATTGCCATTCAGAAATGCAAGAAACAAGTTTCGAAGAAAATCGTCTCGGTCATGGCACCCCAGCAATCTGAGCGTAAACCGGCTACGACTGGCTCTGTTAGTTCCTTTTTTTATTAATTTTTTCCACTTTTTAATCTTCATTGATTGGTTAATGGGTTTGTGTTGATTTATGAAAAGTTGGGTTTTTTTTCTCAGGTGAAGACTAGAATGACAATGACAGAGAAGATTCTTGCAAGAGCCTCGGAGAAACCACAGTTGAGTCCAGGTGATAATGTTTGGGTTAATGTTGATATTTTGATGACACATGATGTTTGTGGTCCTGGTTCCATTGGTATCTTCAAGAAAGAATTTGGTGAAAATGCAAAGGTATTCTGTTCATCTTCTATCTTACTTGTTTTCTTTCTTTCTTTTTTGATGATTTTAGCTCTTTTCTTTTCTCTTAGGTTAGTTTTGTGCATAATTGAGCTCTTGCTGATGCTTGTTAGAATATAATTAGCATTTTGAAATTGGAATTTTTGATTTCATGAAGTAACAATAGCTATGTCACTGCTGTTTGTTCTTTGTGTCTTTTGCTGTGGCTGTATTCATTAACCGTGTACGATCCTTTCGGTATTGAAGGTTTGGGATCGTGAAAAGGTTGTTATTATACCTGACCATTACATATTCACCAGTGATGAACGTGCAAATCGTAACGTTGATATTTTGAGGGATTTCTGCACGGAGCAAAATATCAAGTATTTTTATGATATAAAAGATCTTGGTAATTTTAAGGTATGGCACTCGTTATTTTTTCATTCATTTCTAATCCAATAATCTGAAGAACTTGGGGTACATTCTCTGTTCATCCACATAGCACTGAATCCTAAATCACGACATTGCAGGCGAACCCTGATTATAAAGGAGTATGCCATGTTGCACTTGCCCAAGAGGGTCACTGCAGGCCTGGAGAGGTATTGATTCCCAACCATAGTTATTGAATTGTAAAACTGTAATTCTTGCATCAGGCTCTCGAGCTGGTATTATCTTTTTTCTTTGCCTTCAGGTTTTGTTAGGGACAGATTCTCACACCTGTACTGCCGGAGCATTCGGTCAATTTGCTACTGGAATTGGAAATACAGATGCTGGCTTTGTATTAGGAACCGGCAAGCTTCTGCTAAAGGTTTATTAATTATTCTTTAATGTTTTACTTGATTAAAAAATGTATGTGTTTTTGGTGCATTTTGATTTTTCATTTGGTTTCCTATTAGTATTTGGCTACTTTAGGTTAGCAGCATTATGCGTACCATGGAGTTATAGATGTTTTTTTTATTATTATTTTTGAATGAGAGTTTTGAGGTGGTCCAACTCTGTTATCCAAATTCATTGAAAGATTTTCGACGAAGTTTTAGCTATTTGATTTTGATGAGCAGTTTTCTCCTTCATGTCTGTTGCTCTAGGCATGTAGTTTAATCTGATAGACCATCATGGCATTTTCTTACAAAATTACGACTTGTATGAGTTGAAGGTTAGCACTTACAAAATTACGATTAATTTGGTGGTATATTCTGTTGCATATTCGATTGTAGGTTCCACCAACTTTGAGATTTGTAATGGATGGTGAAATGCCTCCTTATCTGCTTGCAAAGGATTTGATTTTGCAGGTAAGATCGTATACTTTTGGGCAATTATTCCACTTTGATAAGCTTGAAGTCGTAATTATGTTCCTGTGGGCATTCTTTAGTTATTCATTTGCTTTCGTATACGTTTTTCTAAAAATGGTTCCCGTTGCAGATCATTGGTGAAATATCTGTAGCCGGTGCAACATATAAATCCATGGAGTTTGTTGGAACAACTGTTGAAAGCTTAAATGTAAGTGTACCTCAAATTTTACCCAATTGCAAACATTAGTTCCTTAGAAAACGTTTGAGCTAGTTTGATTTCTTGTGGGAAGAGATCATGAATTTAATCTTCTGATTACTTGTATTGGGTAGATGGAAGAACGGATGACGTTATGCAATATGGTTGTTGAAGCCGGAGGAAAGAATGGAGTCGTTCCCGCTGATAGTACGACATTCAAGTACCTTGAGGTCAGGGAAAAGTCATTATGTTTGTCCCAATTCAGTGCCTGGATTGATATCTTTTTTAACCATGTAGATTTCATTTAACGTCTACAGCCTGCTTTCACGCCTTGATTACGGGTTATTATCTTTTGCTTTGCACAGGATAAAACATCTCTGCCATATGAACCGGTTTACAGCGATGCACAAGCAAGGTATATTTTTGTGCTTAAATTATTAAATGGTATTCGAGATGGAAATAGGATTGATATTTACTGTAGCATTTCATGCCTGGAACTGTATCGAGATGAGTCCTAATACGATTTACAACTGGGTCTGGCTTTCAGTTTTCTTTCCGAGTACAGATTTGATATCTCAAAGTTGGAGCCATTGGTGGCTAAGGTGGGTTATCTCGATCACGTCAAGTGATGAGCTCCTTTTTAATCTACGGCCCTGTCCCCCGTCTCCCCATTTTTACTATAGATCATCTCGCAAAAGTTGTTTTTATCTTTGTCTTTTTTTCGTTTTTTCTTCTGTCGTTTGTGTCTGTCTGTACAATGGACTGATTTCTTAAATATATTTTGCAGCCGCATTCTCCTGATAATCGTGCTTTGGCAAGAGAATGCAAAGATGTTAAAATCGACAGAGTATATATTGGATCTTGTACTGGTGGGAAAACCGAAGATTTTCTTGCTGCTGCCAAACTCTTTCTAGCTTCGGTAAGAGTCATACATTCCCGATCCTCGTCCGGAGAGATCATACATTATCGCGTAATTTATGGACGATAACGAATATCAAGCTGTGGCTGAAAAATTTTAATTTGCTTGACCTGCAGGGAAAGAAGGTCAGAGTTCCCACATTCCTTGTCCCCGCTACACAAAAGGTGTTTCTCGAATCCTTGATATCGTTAAAAGTTATAAACGAATGTGCGTTTTAACTCGTTGAAATTGGCAGGTTTGGTTGGACTTGTATACTCTCCCCATACCCGGATCCGGTGGAAAGACGATGTCCCAGATTTTCGAAGAAGCTGGCTGTGATACACCTGCAAGCCCTAGCTGCGGCGCTTGTTTGGGTGGCCCTAAAGACACATACGCGCGTATGAACGAACCTAAGGTAATTAGTTTTTCTACTCCTACATATTCAACCATATTCGAACATGTCGTACGGGAATTTTATTGGGATCGCCATCGCAGGTCTGTGTGTCGACAACAAACAGGAACTTCCCTGGTCGCATGGGGCACAAGGAAGGCCAGATATATCTTGCTTCTCCGTACACAGCTGCTGCATCGGCCTTGACCGGTTATGTCACCGATCCGAGAGAGTTTTTGCAGTAAGAGGCTTGCAGTCGTAGGAATAACCAGTCTGAACAATTAAAAAACATAAAATGTTAAGACAATGGAGATTTATGTCGGGTTGTACTGGGCTTGTCATGTAAGATCTTGTTGTATCTTGTTTCATCATCACCTGCAAGAAATGCAATAACCGGGGATCATCTTTTTCAATGGAGGTTTATGTTTGATTATTATTAATATACTGTTTTGACATTCATTTTCATGCTATTTTGTATTGATAATTTACTTTATTTAATATTAAAATTAATTTTTAATTATTTAAAACTTCATTTAGATAAGCTTGAAATTAAAATCTAATTTATTTAAGGGTAAAGTACACAAATAGTCCCTTGACTATAGAGTATTATTTTATTAAGTTTCTTAACTATTAGAAGTTATAAAAATAGTCTTACATCTATAAAATGTTGTTTTATTGAGTCTCTCGATTATTAAAAGTTATACAATAATCATTTGATTATTTGTTATGTTCTAAATTTGTTTTTCTTTATTAAAAAAATATCGATTTTTTGAGTTGAACGTTAATATAATGATTGATATCATAAATTTACCTGATACTCCACATTCACATGTAGATATTAACATCAATTAATCCAATTCTTTTTTAGATTGAAAATCACCGTCGATATGAAAAGATTCTTTCATAACCCTTAAATAATATAACTATATTTTATTAGTTATTTTTTATTTACTTCCAAAATTATTATTATTTGAACCCATCAAATGAGTTCAATAGTAAAAGAAAATGTTAAGAGCATGAAAATTGTGAACACATATTATATTATAATTATTTTAATTAATAAAAAATTATTATTTAAATATTTATAAAATGTATTAAATTCTATCAAATAATAATTAAAAATCATAAAATAAAATTATTTTATCGAATGAAATAAAAAACGGCAAATTTTTTGAAATAATGATGTGAAATTTTTTTTTCTTAAGATAAAGCTGTTGAAAAATTAATTGTTGAGATAGGGCGTTTGCTACAGCTATATCCTTGGTCGCCAAGTGGTCCGAACAACCTCTGCAGGTCGCCAGGTTGTCCAAGCGACCAAGAAAGGTCGTCAAGCAATCCATGCTTTCATGCGTGGTTTGCAAAAATGAAAGCTATGAATCTGGGTTCTATATTTTAGTTTTTTTAGGTTAAACTATAACAAAGACCACTCAACTATAGTCTTTTTCTATTTCAGCAACTATTTTTGAATTCTTGTCAATCATATCACCTAACTTTTTTTTAATTAATCACTAGTATCCGATCTATTGATCGACTAATCCAGATCGACAATTAATGGAAGTGATGACATGACAGTTAATAATGAAAGTATAATAATGATTTGATATTAATGATTTAATAATGATTACTAAAAGTTATTTAATAATTATTAAATATTTAAATAGAATTTATTAAATTTAAATCAAATTTATAAATAGTTGAATTTATAACTAGTATGCGCTCCCTCATGCATGTTGCAATAATTTAATGTGATTTGCAGCAGCCCCTCCCCTCATTCATGCAGCAATAATTGTTGTAATAATTTAACGTGATTTGCAGCAGCCCATGTTGTGTTTATTGGATTAAAAAAATTAAACTCAAGTATTCTAACTAATAATAACATGTTGTGTTTGTTGCTAGTTGATTTCAAAGAGGCGTGAACCACATGCAAATAGGAGCATGGCCCACTTGATTAACTAGAGAAATTATAGGTAATTTTTTAATCATGTTATCTAATATGTTAATCGATTATATCGAATCGAATTTTGGGTAATTGTATAGACACTTGGGTAATTGTATTGATTAAATATAAATAACATAAAACTATTGATTTTGTGAACCTTAAATCTTAAACCCTAAAATATTTTGGTTGTTGTTGAAAATTCTAAACTCTAAACCCTAAACCCTTAATACAAGATAAGTAGCCCTAAACCCTAAAATATTTTGGTTATTACTGAAAACCTTTATAAATTCATGGTATGTTGAGGGCAATGAAAGGGGTAGAGGATGGTGGTATCTACCATGATGGTGATTACAGATTTGTTTTTTGTAAGAAAAAAATTGTTTGGAGGGAGAATGGTTAGGGTTTAATGTTTAGAGTTTAATGTTTAGAGTTTAGGGTTTATAGTTTAGTGTTTAGGGTTTAGGATTTTAACAATAACCAAAATATTTTAGGGTTTAGGGTTTGCAAAATCAATAGTTTTATGTTATTTATATTTAATCGATACTTAACTAAATTTTTTATATATATAAATTCAACAAACAAATATAACTTAAACTATTTAACTAACAAACTAATTAAATTAAATTAATAAAATCCCTCCAATAATAAATAATTAAAGGAAAATATTTGTAAATTATTAGATCTTCGAATTGAAATTGAATTTATGTAATTATTAGATGGTGCCATGTGTCACCATTTGATTAAAGGAAAAATATTTAAATTAAATTAATAAAATCCCTCCAATAATATCGTGACACATGTCCTCATATAATTAGAGGATTAAATATATTGAATTAATTTAAATTATGACCAATTTGATAGATTATGTAAGTAATAAGGACTAAATGTAAATTATACAAATTTTATTAACTGACATGTCATCACTTCCATTAATTGTCGATCTGGATTAGTCGATCAATAGATCGGATATCAGTGATTAATTAAAAAAAAGTTAGGTGATATGATTGACAAGAATTCAAAAATAATTGCCGAAATGAAAAAAAAACTATAGTTGGGTGGTCTTTGTTATAGTTTAACCTAAAAAAACTAAAATATAGAACCCATATCCATAGCTTTTATTTTTGCAAACCACGCATGAAAACATAGATTGCTTGACGACCTTTCTTGGTCGCTTGGACAACCTGACGACCTGCAGAGGTCATTCGAATCACCTGACGACCAAGGATACAGCTGTAACAAACACCTTATCTCATCAATTAATTTTTCAACAACTTTATCTAAAAAATAAAAATTTACATCATTATTTCAAAAATTTTGCCAATAAAAAACTATAAAACTTAATACTAATATAAAAATAAAAAATAACCAGGGTCGACTTTACTTGAACGTTGGAGTTGCTTAACCGTGTCTTACCGTCTTCGTATAAACCCTAAATTCTTCCAATTCCTTCTGAATAATTTCTCTTTATACCTTCTTTCCCTTGGTTCGAAATTTGAATTCATTTATTTTTTTCAACATTTTGATTTGAGATTACAGATGTATACATAAACATGGTCTTCAGAAATCCAGGTAAACTCTCGACCTCTACAAATTTCATATTAGATGGAATGTTGGATCTTTGAGCTTAACAGTATATAAAAAATTGCATTTTCTTTCTTGGGTTTTTGTATTTATTTGATTTTCTGCCATTTTTATGTGTTTCAAATCCCGAATTCGTTAATTTTTATCTTTTCACGAGGGCTGCAGGAATAAGTCTTCGTATACGTGCAAATTGTTCTCGTATTTTTAGTGCTTGTAAGAACCTATCTTCGTTCTCCGATACTCCTTCGTCTGAATTGTATAATAAATCTGTTGCTTTTGAAGGTAAGTTTAATTGTATTCAAGAACACCCAAGTAGAATTGAAGTTGTAAAGAAAGAAGTAGATGATGTGTGTGGCATCTTAGAGAGTGGTCCGTGGGGACCCGCCATTGAAAACGCTCTGTCTTCGCTCAAGGAGAAGCCTCAACCCGGTTTGGTCATTGGAGTTTTGAGGAAGTTGAAGGATGTTAATCAAGCAATAAACTATTTCAGATGGACCGAGAGGAGAACCGACCAAGCACATTGTCCGGAAGCGTACAATTTGCTTCTCATGGTGATGGCTCGGAATAAGAAGTTTGATTGCCTGGAACAGGTTCTTGGAGAGATGAGTGTTGCGGGATTCGGCCCATCGAATAACACTTGCATCGAGATGGTTGTTAGCTGTGTCAAGTTCCAAAAGTTAAGAGAAGCTTTTAATATTATACAGACGATGCGGAAGTTCAAATTCCGGCCAGCCTTTTCGGCTTATACCACTCTGATCGGTGCTTTATCTGCTGTGTTTGAATCTGATCTTATGCTCACTCTGTTTCATCAGATGCAGGAGCTGGGTTATGAAGTTAGTGTCCATTTGTTTACTACTCTTATTCGTGTGTTTGCCAAGGAAGGTCGGGTTGATGATGCTATTTCTCTGTTAGATGAGATGAAGAGCAACTCTTTTGAAGCCGATGTTGTTCTTTATAATGTCTGCATAGACTGCTTTGGTAAGGTAGGTAAGGTGGATATGGCATGGAAATTCTTTCATGAGATGAAAGCACAAGGCCTAGTGCCTGACGACGTGACTTTCACGAGCATGATTGGTGTTTTATGCAAAGCCAATAGGCTGCAAGAAGCTGTAGAATTATTTGAGCTGATGGAGCAGGATCGAAAGGTCCCCTGTGCTTATGCTTATAACACCATGATCATGGGTTATGGCTCAGTAGGAAAGTTTGACGAAGCATACAGTTTACTAGAAAGACAGAAGGCGAAGGGGTCGATTCCGAGTGTGATCTCATATAACTGCATTCTAACTTGCCTTGGGAAGAAGGGGAAAGTGCAGGAAGCATTGAAGGTCTTTGAGGAGATGAAGAAAGATGCCATGCCAAACCTTCCAACTTATAACATTCTCATAGACATGCTTTGTAAGGAAGGCAATCTTGAGGATGCTTGGAGGATTCAGGATGCCATGAAAGAAGCTGGCATGTATCCCAATGTTATTACTGTAAACATAATGATCGATCGACTGTGTAAAGCACAAAAACTCGATGAGGCTATTTCTATATTTGAAGGGATGGATCATAAAGTTTGCTGCCCTAACGAGGTTACGTTTTGCTCCCTTATAGATGGCTTGGGCAAGCATGGCAGAGTAAATGATGCCTACAGACTTTACGAGAAGATGCTGGATTCTGGTAAGATCCCAAATGTGGTTGTATATACATCCCTCATTAGGAACTTCTTCAAATATGGCAGGAAGGAGGATGGTCATAAGATATACAAAGAAATGCTGCGTAGGGGATGCGCCCCCGATCTTATGCTCCTCAATACCTACATGGATTGTGTTTTTAAAGCCAGAGAAATTGAGAAGGGTAGGGCTTTGTTTGAGGAAATAAAGGCTCAAGGTTTTGTTCCAGATGTGCAAAGCTATTCAATCCTGATACATTGCCTTGTGAAAGCAGGTTTTGCACATGAAACCTATCAATTATTTCATGCGATGAAGGAGCAAGGCTGTGTTTTGGACACCCGTGCTTACAACACCGTGATTGATGGATTCTGTAAGTCAGGTAAGGTTAACAAAGCTTATCAGCTGCTAGAGGAAATGAAGTCAAATGGTCACCAGCCCACTGTTGTAACGTATGGTTCCGTCGTCGATGGTCTTGCTAAGATTGATAGGCTTGATGAAGCATACATGCTTTTCGAAGAAGCAAAAGCACAGGGCATAGAGTTGAATTTGGTTATCTATAGTAGTCTTATTGATGGGTTCGGGAAAGTCGGGAGAATAGACGAAGCATATCTAATCTTGGAAGAGCTGATGCAGAAGGGTTTGACTCCTAATGTATATACATGGAATTGCTTGCTCGATGCTCTGGTGAAAGCGGAAGAGGTTGATGAAGCCCTTGTCTGCTTCAAATCTATGAGAGAATTGAACTGTGTTCCCAACCATATTACTTATAGCATTCTCATAAACGGTCTTTGCAAAATCAGAAAATTCAATAAGGCCTTCGTGTTTTGGCAAGAGATGGAAAAGCAACAGTTAAAACCGAACATTATCACTTACACCACCATGATCTCTGGACTCGCAAAGGCCGGTAATGTCGCGGAAGCACACGGACTCTTTCAGAGATTTAAGGCTAACGGGGGTATACCTGATTCCGCGTGCTATAATGCCATCATAGAGGGGTTAAGCAATGCGAGTAGGGCAATGGATGCATATAAACTTTTCGAAGAAACTCGACGGAAAGGCTGTAACATTCATACCAAAACCTGTGTTGTGCTTCTAGACGCACTGCACAAAGCTGAATGTCTTGAGCAGGCAGCTATCGTGGGGGCTGTGTTGAAGGAAACAGCAAAGTCTCAACATGCTTCGAAGCATTGGTAACATGTTTTTTCGGTTTGGTGTCGGAGAAATCAATTAACGCACAATGAGGCGATCTCGCTCAATGTTGCCTGTAGAACAATGTAGTGGGGCTGGACAACATCACTAGCAACCCACTTCTATAGATGAACTTAAGCAAAGGTATTTCCTCTTCTCATCTAAGCTATAAGTGCATCTAGTTTTGTGTAAAGTTTATGCATAAAATTTCTTGTGAACGTCTAAATACGAGTTCTATGCAGGCTCGATACGGATCCTTTTTTGTTCCGGAATTTCAAATATAGGATACTAGCTATGAAAACCGATCCGGTCGAAACCTTTTCTTTGGCAAAATGTTATTCCGGTGACTGATATGAATCGATATAGGTGCTCTCTGGCCGAAGCCATTGCTATATGCATCATGGAGGATTGAGAAGACAGATTCCCCAAAACCAGCAGCCACTGCGAAGACAGACCCTTTTTATATTTCGATTATTTTACAGTTTTGTTTTGTATTTTTGGTATAATCCAACCAAAAACCAGACATTTCATCTTGGGGTCTTGTTTGTTTTATTCGTTGAAGTTTCCCCCTTGAGCACATTGTAAGCATGAAAATCTTACCAGCTTCGGGTTCATATAGGGTTAATTGCACTAGATGTCCTTAAATCATGTCTCAATTTTTAAATTAGTCCTTAAACTTTATAATATTCTATTTGAGTCATTGAAGTATCATTATCATATTAATCAGGTCTTTGTCAATTGAATCATCGACTTGGGCATTAGATGGCAGGCCGGATCTGACGTAAACTCTATGTAAAACATGTGTACTTATTGTGTTGACGGTTCTGAATCTAACGTGTTAATAAATAGGGTAAATTATGTGTTTAGTATCTAAAATATCAGTTTTGATTTATTTTAATATTTAAATTTTTATTTTTTTCAAAATCATACTTAAACTTTAGTTTTTGTTTCATTTTAGTATTTCTGTTAAAAAATTAACGTTAAATTTTAAAAATATTGAAAGTTTGGGTACTAAAACGGATGAAAATTAATAGTTTAGTTATTAAATGTCATAAATTTTTAACAGTATATATTAAAATGAAACAAAATTTATATGTTAGGTATGATTTTTTTTTTAAAAGTAGATATTAAAATGGGTTAAAATTGATTATTTAGGTACTAAATATGCGAAAGGTTATTTTTAACGCATCAAATCCTAATTATCCATTTGATGGCTAACATATTGATTTGATAGATAAGATAATGATACTTTGAAGATTAAGTAGACTATTTTTAAAATTTGTGTTCGGCCTAGAAGTTTCAGCAATAATTGAAAAATCCTGAGTTTTGAGTCTAATTTGAAATTGGAGTTTAAATCTAGAAATTATGGAACGACTTAATTAACTTTAATATAGAGATTTGGACGATTAATATAGTTAAGATTAAGGTCTACTTTTGCTCTTGTAGTAGACTTAATTTATTATTTTCATCCATATAGTATTTTCGTATTAATTTAACGTTTGAAATTATTTAATTGCATCATCATATACCATTAACAGTTTTGACTAACATAACCGTTGGTCTTTTGCCTTTATGGACGCCATCAATTTTCATGTTAGTTAATATTATTGACGTTGCTTGACGATGACATGACATTTATTAAAAATAAATAATAAAATATTTAAAATATTCCATCTCGGTGGTCTCCATTCCAAGTGACGTCGAACCAATAAGAGAGCAGTCGGCCCGTTAGTCTATTCTCTAACCACGGTAGTTGTATTCTACCAGTATCGGATGGTAGACGACTAGAGCTTCTTTCGTGCATAGTTTTACAACATGCAAATCAATATTAGCCAAAGCAAAGGTAAGGAAAATCAAAAGAAACGACCGGTGAAGGTGGGGTTTTAGAAGATTCTAATGGTGAAGATATTCCCCTTGACGGTGAGGATGATATATCTCGAAATCGACACTATTAGATGGTCAACGAAGTCGCCTATGGAGATGTTTTACTTCGAAAGAGCTATGAAGTTTTTTTCAAGATCTATGAACAAACGACAACGATTTGGGGAAAACAAACTTCAAATCCATAGTTGAAGTTCGCGTTGCGAATCTGAAAACTGATTTGCGATACCAGAGATCGCGTTTCGAATTATCGATCGCATTGCGATTTAATTGGTCATTTTGGCAAATCCAAAAAAAGTTGGTTAAAATCGTATATTATAAGGCATTTTTGGTCAATGAGGTTATTTTATCTTAGAAAAAAATGTTTCAAACCCATTTACTTTGCCATGCCACGTGTCAATCAGATATGGAAACATGTGTACAGCCAAATACAATACAAACGACTGTAGAATATCACAACCACTTCTATGGATTCGACCGTTAAGAACTTTTTTAAAAAGGAAAGTCCAACGTCTCTTTTCCACTTCCTTCAAATATTTAAATTCTAAAACGTTCTTCCTTTACCCTTTCAATTCTCATTTCATTCTAATCCATCTCAAAATCGCAGCGGAAAAAAAATCAACTCTGTTTTCAGATTTAATAGAAAAAATGGCGTTGAGACCCATTGATAATGCACTCCCGACCACACCAGAAAGACCCAAGAAACAAGCCAAAGTGTCGATTCCGATTCAAACACAGAGAAAACCGTCAGATTTTGGTGTCGCCAATGACGAGAACAAGGCCCCTTTACCACCATCTGTTGAGGCCTCCGTTGATTACATATCTTCCGAGAATCTCAAACCCTTTCAAGACCCGGAATCCAAAATCCAAGTAATTCCCATATTCACAAATGTAAAACCTGTTTCAGATTCATGTTTTCTGATTATTTGTTTTCTTTTTTGGGTATAAAATTTCAGAGCTTAGTTGAAGGGTTGGAGTCGAAGGATTGGATTAAGGTCTGCGAGTCCTTGAATGACGTTCGGCGTTTCTCTTTATATCACTCCACGCTACTGCTTCCAATATTGTAAGATTCTCAATACTTTTTTGGATTTTCTGGTGATGGGTTCTTTTATGCTGATGAACTGTTTGTGACTATGCCAGGGAGAAGGTTATATCGGTAGTGGTAAAGGCAATGAGTAACCCGAGAAGTGCCCTTTGCAAGACCTCGATTATGGCTGCTTCGGATATCTTCAATGCATTTGGTGAAAAGTTGCTCGATTTCACCGATTCCGGTGCATTTGACCAGTTGGTGAGTACCCGGTTCTCTTTTGAGGTTTCGAATTTCCTGTTTTGAGTTGTTAGTATCGTTAATTAAATTCATGGTTTGGTTTACAGCTGCTGCAATTGCTACTAAAAGCTTCTCAAGACAAGAAATTTGTATGTGAAGAAGCAGATATGTCGCTGAAAGCAATGGCAAACTCCATTCCTCCTTTGCCTCTGCTTAAGCAGCTAAGCGGATATGTTAACCATCGCAACCTTAGAGTCCGAGCTAAATCGTCTGTTTCCATTTCGAACTCTGTTTCCACAATGGTAATGAACAATTTATAAAATGTGTTGTGAACATAATCTCCCTCGTTTGACATTATAATCACATATGATTATTCATTTGCAGGGTGTGGAAGAAATGAAAGAGTTCGGGTTCATTACAATGCTTCAACTTGCTGCAGATTTGTTGAACGATAGACTCCCCGAGGCCAGAGAAGCAGCAAGAAGCATCGTGTTTTCGGTATACAAGGTGGCATTTACTGAGGACAGAGTCGAAAATCCAGAGGCTTGGCAAAGCTTTTGCCTGACCAGCTTGTCACCTATTCAGGCTCAGTCTGTGATCAAAGTTATCTCTTCTTAGTAGGGTTTTAGAGCAATGCTTTTAGCAGCAGCTCACCAGGTTGTGGTAGAGCTTAGGGTTCATGAAGATGCTGCCTTTACATGATTTGGAATAACACATTTTATGTTATTTCGTCTTGAATTAAATGAAATTTACAAATTTCATCCACTTTTTAGAGCTTATTCTCGTATTCGGAGAACGATATCGAGCATAAAGATGAGAATAGGGAACTTCAGACATCCCAAGTTATCAGAGCATTAAAATCTGAAAATTATTCTTGATGAAGAATTAATCAATCGAATAATAAATGGTAACAAAATTTTCGAGACAGTATTTCACAACCACTACAACAGTCCGAGCGATTGTTCATGTGGTAATTCGATCACTCTGATCTGACACTTCTCATCGAGACATGCTTTGTAAGCTCGAAGAGAACCAACCGGAAGTGGCATCACATGTTCAACTTCGGTCTTCAACTCCTGGAAATACGTGTGTAGCTGATTTACATCCTTACATGGCCAGCCTACTCCGAGTTTGCAATAGACTGCAAAGCCATCTCAACCTGGGAAAATGGTTGACCTGCATAGGCTTAAGCTGCCCCTTCTTAACAACAATTACATCCTTGGCATGAGATTTTGCAACTTCACGAAGTTCCTGTAAATTTCTGCTCTCGTATCAGTCATACGGATTAAGGAAAATGTATGGCATTAAACAGTTCTTATCCTCAATGTTAACCGACTATGCTTGTGTCGATTAATATAAGCACGGATTGTTATGAAGCTAAACAAGCTAGACTTAATGGAACAGTACTATAGTTCTTACTTTCACAGACACAGGAACAACTTCAGCACTGAAATCACCTAGATCTTCAAAGAAACATTCAAGAAGATAACAGAAGTTATTGGCATCACTGCAATCCTCGAATGCAACAGCGCAATAAGTATCACCCTCTTCCTGATCTTCGGAGGATGGTCAGAAGGTAAAAAGCCCTCCCAGTCCATCCGGATCATCACCTCGTTGCATGAGAATTACCTGGAAACAGTCACGAGTGCAACCCGAAAGGTAGAACGTTCCGTTATCCAGGCATTATAATGGTGACATGGAAAACTAAGTATGGAATATAGAACTAACTGAAGGGAACTAATCAAATGATAACAATTCCCGAGTCTCGGCATTACAGACAGGAAAAAGAATAATTATTAACAGAAGTGCCAAAGTTGAAGTTACATACTAGGGCATAAGGAAGTTTCAGCCACCATGGATCAGTTTTGATGCCTGATTGGTTAACCTCGATTTTTTCAGCTCGTGGCTTGTTGTTGCTACCATCTCTTCTTTCTGAAGTACGCAACGAAACGTGCTTATCAAATTCGGTTTTAGCTTCCTGATTCTCTTTTCTAAATATCTTTAGGTTCTATGTATTCAAATCTCTCGACTCCGTTGATTCCATAATTTCAGGAGACAATCTTCCTTCACTGCTCTCTGAACCAACACTAGAAATTTAACAAATAACCAATGATTGCAAGGACCTCAGGAAAACTATAAAAGTCGAATTCAACATATCACAGAAGGTAACAAATTTAAATAAGAGCATCATTCTTAACAGTCCTATATTTTAGGTTTTACGCTTTTTGTGCTTAGAGGGAAATGGAGTGGAAAGAGATGAACAGAGGAGTGGCTTTAGTGAAATCTTGGGAACGGAGGAGAGTGTGAGGGAGACCGCACCCGCCATGGATTTTCACAGTGGAGCACAAAGACCAGTCAAAGAGCTGAGTGAAATTTGGGTTTTGTCTTCGGTTTTAGAATTTTTACAATTTTCAGGCCGCCATTGAAGCCCAATGGAAAGCTTTGGTTTCTTGTGTTCAGGTTAGTAGGCTTGAAGGTAAGTTCTTTTGGGCAATTTTGCCCAATACCTAGACAGACTAATTTGAATAAAAAATATTATGTAAGTAAACTCGTCATGTGATCGTGATAAAGTGTTGTATTTATCGTATATCCCAAAATAATTTGGAAAACGGCCTAATAAATTAATTTTTTATCAGGTCAAATTTTTGTCTTTTTTTTAGGTTTGGTGGTTTCCATTGGCCCAATTCGAAACCTTCTCTCTCTCTTTTTTTTAAACATTTCTGATTTAAGAGATTTTAAAATATAAGCATCAATATATATAAACTTTTATGGATAATAATGTAACCAAACGAATGATTTTATGTTAAAGACGGATATGAATTTATAAAATTTTAGAGAGTGAACTTTTATTTAAAAAAATTTAGAAGATAAAAGCAGATTTTTAATAAAAATACATATATAATATATGATAAGTTTAAAATTTTAAGAAGAACGACCGTCTCCACTGTGTTTATCCTTGAACGTGAGGATTAAAATTTGTAATTAAAACAAAAATTAAAAGATGAAGGAAGGACCACACATTTAGTATTGGCTAAGAGATTGGTAACGTGGGGCAATATCATACACTAAGATGACACAAATGTGTTTTCCCATAATATTTCCTCTTATCATCTCCATTCACTCAAATTATTTTTTTTCCTCTTTGAAAATAGTAAATATGAATTAAATCGAGTTTGATATATTTAATAATTAATATGAATTAAAATTTTAATTAAACAAAATTACGATTAAATTACTATTTCTTGTATTATGTTCAAATTTAAAATTTAATCTTTATCTTTAAATTTGATGTGGTCACTAATTAAATCTAATAAATTAAATTATAATGAGTTGGAATGAGGATTTTTAAGGAAGGAAATTTAATCAAAATAGTTAATAAAAAGCTAAGTAATCACATTATTTTTTTAATCAAAATATTGTTAAATTAAAATATAAGAATAATCACTAAATTATTATTGTTTTTTCACTTTAGTGATTGATGCTTTTTAGTAAAATCGTTATTATAGTTATATTTTTATTTTTATTTTTAATATTAAAAAAATAATGATGATATCGATATGAAATTTTTATTTTTAAATAGTTTTTCTCTCTTCACATCAACAACTCATGGAAAATTAAATAATTTAGGGTAAATTATGCATTTAGTACCTAAACTATCAGTTTTAATTTGTTTTAGTATCTAAATTTCAATTTTTTAAAATCATAGATAAAATTTAATTTTTGTTTCATTTTAGTACCCATCATTAAAAACTTTAGTTTTTGTTTCATTTTAGTGTCCCGTTCATAATTTAACGTTATATTTTGAAAAAAATTGAAAGTTTAGGTACTAAAACGGTCCAAAACTGATAGTTTAATTACTAAATGCGTTAAGCTTTTAACGACATAGTACTAAAATGAAATTAAAACTAAACATTGGATATGGTTTTGAAAAAAAATTAAAAGTTTAGGTCCTAAAATAGATAGAAACGGATAACTTATGTACTAAATGTATGATTTACTCAATAATCCATCGGTACATAGAGAGAAAATACATAGAAAATAATTCAATAAAAAAGGATAACGGTTTCACATCAATATTTTCGTTAATTTTTTATGATCAATAATTGAAATAATAAAATATAATATATTTTTTAGAAAGATCAATGATCAAAATAAAAAAATAATGATAATTTGGTCACCAATATGGTACTTTACCCAAAGAAAATCTATAATTATCCATATATTTCAAAATATTTTGTCTCATATAACACTCTTTGCACTTCCCATACCGAAAAGACAACCTAAAACCCTACCAGTCTCCAACTAAAACACAAACATAAACATCATCGAGACGGAACAAATCGCAAATATTTTTGTTTTTCTTTACTCCTTTATCTCGTTCACCAACCATTCCTTTTTTCTTCCTTTCTCTTTTCTCAAACAAACAAACAAGAGCTCATTTCCATGGACTCAAAGCCATCCATTGTCTCTGTTCCCGCAACAAAAGAGACCCCAACAGGTTCTTTACTCATCCGAGCTCCTTTAACCGTTGATTCTGACTCTGAATATGATTCCAACGCGCTCGAAACAGCGAGCACCGTCGGTGGTGGTAGTAGTAGTTTCAATAGTTTTGATGACTACAACAGTGAATTGGGTTTGTCTGAAAGAAGTGAGGGTTTTTTTGAGTGGTAATGAGGAGTTCGATAATGTTTCTGAAAGGGAGGGGCCTTTGGGTGAGGACCCAAGGAGGGAAATTTCGTTGGGGGGTGGGGATGGTGGTGGGGTTAGTCAAAGTTACAAAATTTATGTCGATGATGATGATGAGGAGGAGGAGGAGGAGGATGGGGATGTTGGTTTGGTGGATGGTTCTAAGTCAAACCGGGTTGTTGTTCCTATTGCTCAGTTGTCGATGGATGATGAAGTGTCTGATGAAATGTCGAGTGTGGATGAAACGGTGGCCGGAGTTGAAGAGGGTGAGTTCTCTGGTGTGGTTAAGGTTGCTGGTGGTGTTGAAAGTTCACCTAGATTAAAGGTGGCTTCGGGGGTTGAAGACGAGGAGGTGTTGGAGGATTTTGTAGGTGAAGATAAGGGGTCTGATTTTGAAGTGTTTGATGAAATGTCGAGTGAGGATGAAACGGTGGGCGGAGTTGAAGATGGTGGGTTCTCTGGTGTGGTTAACGTTGCTGGTAGTGTTGAAAGTTCACCTAGATTAAAGGTGGCCTCGGGGTTGAAGACGAGGAGGTGTTGGAGGATTTTGTAGGTGAAGATAAGGGGTCTGGTTTGGAAAGGACCCAAAAAGATGTATTGGTTGAAATTTCCAAATTGGAAGAGGATGATAAGCCTTCTGCTGATTCAAGCACTGAAACGGAAAATCCGGGTGAGGAGACGGTCGAATCGCAAGGTGATGGTTTGGAGGAAAATGGTTCTGTTATGGTCAATGGTCCCAATCTTGATTCTCAACCTGTGGTTATCTCAGAGGTTGAAAAGGGTGGTTTGGAGAATTTTGGAGGTGAAGATAACGGGCCTAATTTGGAAGGGATCCGAAAAGATGTATCGGTTGAAATTTCCAGATTAGATGATGATGTTAAGCCTTCTGCTGATACAAGCATTGCACCAGAAAATCCGGGTGTGGAGAGGGTCGAATCGAAGTATGGAAACGGTCATGAGATAGAGGGAATGGTTCTGTTATGGTGGAATCTGTTGACAAGGTTGTGTCTGATATGAAAGAATCAAGTGACATCGACTCCATTGAAGTTTCAGCGCCAGTATCAATTATAGACCAGGTATTAAACTAGGAGAAGAAGATATAGCTAAGCATGTTGCAGAGAAAGGTTTCCTTTCTGATGATGATGTTGTGGAGCTGATTTTTGGGAGCTCTGAAACAATCAATCACGTAGTGAATGAGGTAGATTCGGGGGATCAGTTAGAGACGGAGAGTCATCAGATTGTCGTAGACTCTGATGAAGAAGCTGAAGCTGAGAGGGAATATGAAGCTAAAGAGCTACAAGATTCTGCTGCATTGACTGCTCTTTTGAAAGCTGCAGCAAGTGATGAAGAAGCGGAAGTTGAGAGGGAATATCAAGCGGAAGAGCTACTTAGTTCTGCTGCATTGGCTGCTCTTTTGAAGGCTGCAGCCAGTGGCGAATCAGATAGTGTTGGCCTCACAATCACTTCTCGTGATGGCTCTAGAGTGTTTCCTCTTGGCCAACCCGCTCATTCAGGTTCTTCATTGCATTCTTCGAAAGTTGCTCCACCATCAAATACGGTTGACAGTGCATTGAAGGACAAGGTAAGTGATGAAGATAAGCGGAGGTTTGAAAAGTTGCAACTAATAAGAGTGAAGTTCTTGAGACTTGTACAGAGACTAGGCCATTCTCACTCTGATCCAATGGTGGCACAGGTGCTGTACCGACTGGTCCTTGCTTCAGGTAGTCTTTTCAGTCAAGAATTCACCCTTGAATCCGCAAAAGAGCGGCAATGCAGCTTGAAGCAGAAGGTAAGGATGACTTGGACTTTTCTTTGAACATTTTGGTTCTTGGAAAAACTGGAGTGGGGAAGAGTGCAAGCGTTAATTCCATTTTGTGTGAGCAAAAATCCAGAATTGATGCTTTTCGGCCGGCAACAACAGCTGTGAAGGAGATTGTTGGAACAGTTAATGGAGTTAAGATGAGAATCTTTGATACACCTGGTCTTCGGTCACCTGTGACAGAAGAAGCTACCAATCGCAAACTATTAGCATCGGTGAAGAGGTTCGTAAGGAAGTTCCCACCCGATGTTGTTCTCTATGTTGATCGATTAGACATGCATGACAAAGATCTTACTGATGTTCTATTACTGAAGTGTCTTACTGATTCTCTTGGTTCATCAATATGGCAAAATGCCATTGTAACTCTCACTCATGCTGCATCTGCTTCTCCAGAGGGGCCGTTTGGGGAACCCTTAAGCTTTGAGGTTTTTGTTGCTCAAAGGTCCCATGTGATTCATCAAGCTATCAGCCAAGCAGTTGGTGATCTGCATCTAATGAATCCGAGTATGACGCATCCTGTGGCTCTTGTTGAGAACCATCCATCAGGTCAGATAGATGGTAATGGAGAAACATTGCTTCCGAATGGTCAAAGTTGGAGGTCACAGTTTCTACTCTTGTGCTATTCAGTGAAGATCTTATCTGAAGCAAGTTCTCTGTTAAAACCTCGAGAACATTTTGATCACCAGAAGCTTTTTGGCTTCCGACATCATTTCCCACCTCTCCCTTACCTACTGTCTTCACTGCTGCAATCCCGTCCTCATCCGAAACTACCTAGCAATGATGGGAGTGAGGGTGTTGACTTGGATACTGAGTTGAGAGACTCTACATATTCTGATGAAGATGATAATGATGAATATGACCAGCTTCCACCATTCAAGCCTTTAAAGAGATTTCAGGTCGATAAACTTAGCCATGAGCAGAGAAAAGCTTACTACGAGGAGTACGATTATCGTGTTAAGCTACTTCAAAAGAAACAATGGAGAGAGGAGATGAAAAGAATGAGGGAAATTAACAAGAATAGGAAAGATGGTGATAATAATGGTTTTGTCGGAGATGATGGACACGCGGAAGAAGGCCATCCAGATACTATACAGGTCCCTTTGCCTGACATGGTCCTCCCTCCTTCGTTTGATGGAGACAACCCCACTTACCGGTACCGGTTTTTGGGTTCTACTTCGCAGCTTCTCATCAGGCCAGTTTTGGATCCACAGGCTTGGGATCATGATATCGGGTATGACGGTGTTAGCCTTGAAAGAAGTCTTGCTATAGTTGGTTATTTCCCTGGTTCATTTGCTGTTCAAATCACAAAGGATAAAAGAGAATTCAACATCCATTTGGATTCCGCGGTCTGTGCAAAACATGGAGAGAATGGGTCAACAATGGTAGGATTTGACATCCAAACTATCGGAAAACAGCTTGCTTACATCGTCAGGGGTGAAACAAAATTCAGAAATTTCGAAGCAAACCGAACGACTGTTGGTTTTTCGGTTACTTTCCTGGATGAAAATATGGCTACTGGACTTAAGATCGAGGATCACATTGCGATAGGAAAACACTTGCTTTTGGTCGGAAGTGCGGGGTCTATGAGTTCCCAAGGCAATACAGCATATGGAGCTAACATTGAAATCCGGCTAAAGGATGAGGATTTTCCTGTTGAGCAAAATCAGAGCACGTTCGGATTGTCTTTGGTGAAATGGAAGCGAGATCTAGGTCTAATGGCCAACTTACAGTCACAGTTCTCTATTGGACGTGGTTCTTCGATGGTGGTTCGTGTCGGATTGAACAACAAGCGGAGTGGACAAATCAGTATCAAAACAAGCAGCTCGGATCAATTACATATAGCATTGGTTTCTCTTATTCCAATTGCAGCCTCCATCATTCAGATGGGTCTATCCTGGTTCTGATTTTAAAAAGTTCTGCATATTAGTATTTTCATTATAGTGGGATGTTCTGAGCTGAAACTTCAATAAAATTGAACCTATTTATTCAGTGGTGTTGAGCTACTTCATTCATTGTATAAATAACTATCCGCTAGCCAAGCAAACTCAAGCTCAACTTGAAATTCAAGGCTTATGGCTCAACATGAGCTTAGTCATGTCTCGTTTTAAAGTCTGGATTCTATTTGAGATAATCATCGAGTTTCTCAAAATTTACTGGAACATAATTTGATTATTAAAACTGGTTAAAATCATGATAAAAGTCATAGAAGATCCCAAACAATAATGATGATGAATCATGGCAGATTCTACTTTACAGGGATCAAAAGCCATATGCCTGCAGCCTGTTAGAATCTTTGTTGCCTTAAGTTCAACTATTTTTTCATCACTTACTGGAGTTGAGCTCCTGAATTTTCTAATGGCTGCTGCAGCAACTCAGGTTCCTCCAAGTCCTCGCTGTGGATCAGTATATCCTGTTAAAATGCAGACCAATTATTATTGGTTGATTCGTTTCAGAGCAGCAATGTTCGAGATGCATGCGATGCACTCCTGAAAACCATTAATCTCGGATGAGTCGGTAATAAGTGGATACCTGAGCTTGTAGTAGCTGATGCGGTCGCTGGTCTTGCACCATCGTGTAGGGTTGGGGCTGTGACATTCTGTAGTAAGGCTCCTTGAGGTCGAGTTTGCATGATGAGGTCTGAAGAATTCCTCCTTGTTCAACCCCAGGGCCCCACATTTTAGCTATAAGAATCGATACATACCTTCGTTAGAAGAAAAAACAAAAATCGCAAATTAAAATGCAGAAACCAAGCTCGAAACCAACCTGACATTGTTAGATATATGGTATAACTTTGAGCGTTATGAGCAATCATGTGAAGTCGGCCTGTAATTTCTTGCCCGGCCATTACGTAAATTGGCTGAGAAAGAACACATCGTATCTGGTGCCAGTGGGTTGTAGGAGCACCAGGGGCAGTGGTAAGCCATCTTTGCACAGAGCTGTTGGTAAAGCATTTCAACGGAAGTAAGATTTGAATGACAGCGTAAACTGATGAAAACGCAAAATTTGACGATATTACCTCCCATTAAACCAACAGGCCAACCCATGCACTCTAGTCCCGACAGATGCTACGAATTTCAATCCTCTTCCAGCTAAAAGACGAACAAAATGTTGACTACACGTTCAACTGATAATACGTAGTCCAGTATTCAGAGAAAGGAAGTCTAAATCAAACAGCTTTGATTAAGTTACCAAATATTGCATGATACAGAAAAATGGTGCTAATATCCCATGGATATTAAAGTCGACCTACAAAACAATGGTATATGACGCAAGGCAGCCTTGTCTAGTAAAATCGTAACATGGAAAACCGAAAGCTAAACAGAACTTTGATTCAAGGAATTCGCCATGGAATTTACTAGAAGAGTTAAATAGTTTATAAGAGGCACGAGTCAATGACTCGCTCATACCTTTACTTCATTGAAGTCGATTACATGGGACATTGGAGGAGACACCAATAATCTTGGATCAAAAGCATCCACCACAGGCTGATATGAAAGCAAAAGGCATTCCATTAAAATTTGAAAAATTAATGAAAATTAAACATTATGTACGGTTTTGAAAAAATTGAAAGTTTAGGTGTTAAAACAAACCAAAACTAATAGTTTAAATACTAAATGTATAGTTTACCCTTCAATTAATTACACTACACGTCCCTAATTTATAACCCTTGTTGTAAATTACTATCTAAACTTTTAAACATTCTACTATTATCCCCAAACTATGACACCAGTTCTAAAATTAGTCCTCAAACTCTTGAACATTCCGATTTATGAGCCTCGTTATATAATAATACCCAAATTTATATATATAATTATGAGTTCGAGTAGTATTATATAGTGATTTGAGTTCGAGTATATTATTTAGAGATAATCATAAGTTAGGCGAGGTTGAATTTTTTATCGACCTAACTTGAGCTTAGAGAGATTTTATCCAATTCAAAATCCGACTTGAATTTTAGAGTTAAAAATATGTATTATCTGACCATATACAAATATAAAAAATATCATTTTTATTTAATAAAATAGAGAGTTAATTGAAATGTATATATAATCAATTCGGCTTGAAAATATGTATCTTTCAAATGAACTTGATACAATCCGAAAATTATATATCATTTATCCGATTATGATTCGGTATGAATTTTTAGAGTATCATTTAGATCTAACCCGTCCTGATATAAAATAAAGATTTAATTAAATATAATAATTTTAAAAATATATATATTATTATCTTAGATCAAATCAAATCAAAATTTTTTCACCCTCCGTCTAACCTGACCTCATCTCACTCCCTTAAAAAATCTAATATGATCCTAACCTAATATTTTAAAAAAAATATCTAACCCTATCTAATCAAGTGAACTTCAGGTTAAATTACCTGCCGTATATTGCCCATCACTTCTCAAGAAAATGAAAGATACCAAACACTAGATTAAGTTGACGTGCTAATGAATAAAAAATAATTAAATTTTGAAAATTAAAAACTCTAATTATTACACACACACATATATATATATATATATATTTAATACCTGAATTTCATTGGAGGAGGAATATAAATTGATTATTTTAATACTAAAAAAATCAAATATTTGATATATCAAATATTTAGATTTCGTTTAAAATTAAATATTAAAACTTATAAATATTCGATAATAAACATTCTTATTGATAATAATGTCAAATAAATTTAATCAATATGATTTGATTTAATATTGTTCTAACTAATTATGTGCTAAATTAAATAAATTTCACTATATATCTAAATTATCAATTAATTTGTTTATGTCTTGGAATAAAATTAATTATAATTATATGATTGTATTAATTAAATTTTATTTTTATTTGATTTTGATTATAGTTTGAAAATCAAGTTACAATTGCAAACCCTAAAGAAGCTTAAAGACTTTATTCAACGAGAAATATTCTTAATTTACTTGAAAAAAACACAAAAGCTTAAAATAAAATGCATTAAAAATAATTATAAAAAATCAGAAATCACAGCCGCCATCGTAGCCTCCGTCAAAATCCGCCGCGTCGGAAACCATATCTCCGATCAACAATCCACCAACCGCGCCTCCAAGCAACCCAGCTCCCAATCCCAATCCAAACTTGCTATTCTTCTTCGGCGGTTGTTGAACGGGCGGGTACCCATATCCCCCGGGAGGAGGATACCCATACCCGGGCTGCTGCGGCGGCGGGTACCCATATCCCGGCTGTTGTGGAGGCGGGTAACCATACCCTGGCGGAGGAACTCCCTGCGGCGGATATCCACCATAACCAGCCGCCACATGAGGCGGCGGAGTATACCCGTACCCAGCATGGACCGGCGGCGGATAACCTTCGGGAACACTAGAACTCGACCCAGCCACCATATGTCCCGCCGGGTAAGCCGTAACGGGCTGATGATGATCACCGCCACCCTTGTTTTTATCCGCCTTGAAAGGCGCCGCCACCGCGTCTCCAAACCTGTAGGAAAAATCCAAACTCCCTTCGGCTCTACCCGAAGGCTTCCGCACCTGGAAGCTAACGAATTTCATCGAGACACCTTCGCCGGGTGAATCCAAAAGTTCCTGGACCGGAACGTTAACTTTTCCCAGCTCTTTGTCTCCCAATATACGCTCGCACATGATCTTAAACTTGACGTTCAAGCTATTCTTCTTGGCCAACGACTCATCGACGGTGAACTTGACGGGGAAATTCCAGTGGGGATTCTTACCGCAATCTTTGTGGACCGGAGTTCTCGTCTTCTGCTTCGACGGACTCCCTTTGAGTGATATGATGCAGTAAACGTCCATCTTGTCGATCAGATTGACGTTTTTGAGACCTTTGGCGGAGATTACGTTGATTTCTAGGGTTCTATGCGCCATTGCTGCAGAGAGAAAGGAAGAGACAATTTTGCTTTGGAGAAGAAAGTAGGCAAAGCGACAAGTCTTTTATCTGTTTGAGAATGCTTTACGTCAACGCTTTGGAGTTAACCGTAGTTTGTGAATTGTTAACCATGGTTAATCAATCTTACTTTCAAAGGAATCTCCCATGGAATATGGAATGGTCAAATTTATTTGGAAAAAAATAGATAAGAGGTCCTTGTACTTTAAAAAAATTAATGTATTTTTCATATTATTTTTCTTTCAACTTTCAACTAAGAAAATAAATTTAATATGACCATTTAATTAACAGTTTTCATCGTTGATTGTTACGTTAATGATGTAACAGTTTATTTTGCTGACGTGGTAGTCCATGGTGCTGACATGACAATCCATCTGTCATGTTTGAGTTACCAATTTAGTACATCTATCATGTCATCCGTCACGCTATCAACCACTGTAAACTACTATATTAGCACCATGAACCACAACATCAACATCGTGAACTGTCATGTTATCACCGTAACGATTAACGACAAAAAATGTTGATCAAAGGGTTGCATTAGTTTAGATACTAACATTTAATTTTGTTTCATTTTACTACCTCCGTTAAAAGCTTAACATTAAGTTGAAAAAAATTTAAAAGTTTAGATACTAAGACGGACCAAAACTGATAGTTTAGATACTAAACATGTTAAGTTTTTAAGAACGGGATAATAAAATGAAACAAAAATTAAACGTTAGGTATCATTTCAGAAGAATTTTTTTTTGAAATTTTAAGTACTAAAATGAATCAAAACTGATAATTTAGATACTAGATGCGTAGTTTACTCTAAAATCAAACAATAGTGATATCTCCTATAGTTTATCCTATAATAAAAATCTTACTTTAAAAAACTTTTAAATTAAATCTGCGTATTTATGATACAAAATCCAGAAAAAAAACAATGAATAATTGCCTAATATCTACATTAAGAAACATCAAAATTTTCCATGTTTAAATTAAATTAAAAGATAAATTTGTAGAAAAAAAATCGTTAAAGGCAATTTTGAAAATTGTTTTCTGAAATAATTTTATTTAAATAATAAAAAAAGGGATATAATTTCTCTAAATAAATTTTTATGAATTTGAATTATGATCAGATTTTATCCATCAAATTTGAAATTTTACTTAAGGTGCATGTTATATGAAACACAACTTGGTATTTCTTTTTCTTTTTTTATATAATGTATATGATTTAAAACATTTTCTTATGCTAAAATTTTGGATTTTAATTTCTCTATTATAATTTAACGTAATTTGATTCTTGTTTTTATGATGTTTGTAGTAGATCTGAATTGATAAAATTGATAATTATTATCATTAAAATAATATGAAAGTAATTCAAATAATATGGGTTGGTTTAAGTGATAAATAACTTGAAATACCTTAAGTAAGATATCGAGTTCGAGTCAGTGTGCATGTAAAAAATCTCTGCTGGAAGATTCACTCATTAAAATCAGGTGTACGATGCAGGTCGAACCGAATTAATTAAGATGAAGTCTTAGAGTCCGGAAGGTGAAAATAAAGATAATTCAAACTTTTTCCATCACATCAATTTTTTGGTTGACAACATAATTATCAATTAACAAGTATTATCATTAACACTTCAACAATGACATTAACGATGTTATCTATTAATAAATTCTAATGACAATATTATAAAATAAATGATCGAAATATACTAAATTGAAGTAAATTATTATATCTTGAATTTCAACATGATAGAGGGGCTTAAACCATAATTAGACCCTTACTGAATATTTTTTTTCACTTGGCACGATCGAGGATGATCGAAGTTGCACGAACCAAACAATCTCTTAGGTTCGAGCATAAAAAATATGAGCATTCAATGTCAAATGATTACGAAATATAAAAAATAATGATCGAAATTGTTTCTATAACAATGCTTAATAAAAATTTGATTGTTTAGATTAATTAATTGAGATTCTTGTACAAGTAGACATAAAAATTCATTTCTTACAAAAAAGAAGTCTTTTGGAGTTCTTTTTATGGACAAGTCAGCTCAACCCAAGTTGTCATGTTGGGTTTGCTTTGACTTTTTCTAATGCAGGACCAGGTCAACCAAAGATGTAGTAAATCTATTGAACTTGTACCTTAACTTTTTGAGTAAGCATACTAATGAAGACCAAGTTGGTTGATTTGGCATGTCCATTCGCTCTAGATATGGGCTCGACTTCCACGGTGTAAGGAGTGTTACCGTCTTTCCCCTATATCGAATTCTGCTTTTCTTTCTTCGACTCAAAGAACTTATATCTATCGTTTTTCAATTGAGACAATAACTGATTAGACCTTCGATATTCGATAATCATATCGAATTTTAATTAAATTTAGTAGGCATAATTAACGACGTCATTACAGAATTGTGGGGGATAAGACAAGGCCTCCTGTTAGCTAAATCCATGTGTGTAACCAACTTGATCGTGGAACTCGACGCCAAATGGGTCGTGGAAGCGGTGAACGGAGGAAACACGGAGGAGGAGTCGGAAGATATCTTAATAAACGACTACCGAGAACTCATGCAAGGAGGTTGGGTTAGCGAAATCAGACACACATGGCGCGAGGAAAACAAGTGCGCCGATCGCCTAACAACTTTGGCCACTACTCAGACGGGAAAAATAACTACTCTAAAGAATCCTTCAGACGAGGTCAGCCACCTCTTGAGGCCGACAAAAGAGGCGTTAGTGCTCTAAGGGTGTAGGTGTTGTTTTGCTTGCCCCTTTCCTTGATGTACAAAAAAAAAAATTTAGTGTTAAATCATATTAAATCTCAATTAGTTTTAATGTTATATAAAAATGTTTGAATTTTACTCTCTTTGGGTCCCATATTTTCCCATTTTTCATTTTTCTTATCCAATAGCTGGCATCACACCCTCTAACCAAAACAGTCATCCAACGGCTCGTGTTCGTTTAGCCGAAAGTTAAACGTTTGTCTTTTAGAAGCCTCTCTATGGGCATCTAAAACATGACAAGACACAATCAGATAATGACAAATGGCGAAACATCAAAGCTTATCCTTTACAATAATGCAATATCTGCCAACTTAATATTATTGTATTTTCTTGTCAGGTAGCTACTTTATTCATAAAACTTTAAAGGGTAAACTACATAATTGTGTCATTAATGTTTATGTACATTTCCTTTTTGACCACTAAAGTTTGCAAAGTTACATTAAAATCATTAACGTTATGTAACAAAATGATCACTTCACTGTTAGTCTCATTAATTTGATGACGTGGAATATTAAAAAAATGATAGTATCTAATTTGACCAATGAATTATTGTTAAAACGAATTGTACAAAACGTACAAAGTAGCCAGTCTTCCTTAAGTGAGTGATGAACTCATAAAATCAGGGAATTATGATATAGAGATATAAAGAGAGAATTACGTATAAAAAGTTGATCTTGTTAGAAGGACAACTATTTCAAGTATAAATCGTAAAACGAATATAAACATGTTATAAAATATGTTGATATTTCAAGAGAATGTAGATAATCTCACATCCTTCGTGTAAACTTCTAACTTTGATTTACAATCGATAAGTAGGCCTGCCGGAGTAAAATGAAAAGGTGGCACAAATCTAGGCGTGAAAGTTTAAATTGTGTAAATATAATAGGCTAATTTGTTTAATTCACGAATGTTAATTTTTTTTTATATAAATTCGCTAGTTTTATTAAAAATATTCAAAATTACAATGAATATTTAGAAGCATAATCGTAAACTTAAAATATAATTATGACATTTTTCTATTATCATTCAGATAAAAACTAACCACCTAAATCACATAAGAACTAAAGAAGAAAAATGTAAAAAAAGAACTAACCAAAAAACTCGAATAAAATAAAGATACGAACAAATCTGACTGCATCGGTAAACGAACCACAAAAAGGGATGAAACTACTGAAAGACCACTAACAAATCGTAAATCAGAGTAAAGCGACGTGAGAAAAATATCCACGAACGCAAAACGTGTATCCAAATCAATCTGATGGTCCAAAACAAAGAAGGTCATCATGATAACAAATAAGCACTATCTTGATCAATAGTGGAGATGTCAAATCCAACCCTGAGAAAAAAAGATAAACAAAAACAACAACAACAAATCGTAGCTACCAAAAGGCATAAAAACACATGTCACAAAGACATAGATAAACGTGTCATAAATATAGAGAACATGTCACAAAAATATAATTATTTTTATTAAAATAATAATAATTAAGTGACAGTAACCAACATTAAAATCGGTAACGCTATTGGTTAAATTAAATTAAAAAATTTAACTAATCAATAAAATTAACCTAAATTGTAAAGAAAAAGAAGAAGAAGGACGAAAGCAGTTACGAATGTTAAAATTTAACCTCTAACTTTTCTCAGTAACTTTTTTTTTTCAATAAAGCAAGTGTTTGGTTGAATCCACTCCGACCATATACAATTAGTATAAGGGCATTGTTTTGAACTTTTTTGCTAACCATATGCTTACCCCTTTGCTCATTGGCTGAACATTAAAGCTTACAAAACTATGATTGTAGTGTCCCTATTTGTTTATTAGAAATTGCCTTATTGGTCCTCCTAGCATCCAATATTACCAATGTTGCATTCCAATGAACTAACACATGGTTGGCTTGGTCAATTTACACAAAAATATTATATGCATGGTCTAGTTCTTGTTTTAGTCACTATACTATACTAAAACTTTGACATTAGTCCCTATAGTTTGGTATAATTTGATATATCTACTTGTACAATATTATTAAAATGATAATATCGTTGTGTAAAAAATTCTAACCTTACGTCATAAATCCCAAGCATAAAACCTAAAACCTTAAATATACAAAATATCTGACACTAAAATATACAATAATGTATAACTTAAAGTTTACACAAGCTGTGTATCGTATTTAACAATATTATCTCGGATTAGATGAGATTTGTAAAATAAAATGATGAATATTTTTCGAATAGAAATAAATAGACTAACTTTCTAGGTTTGTATGAAGTAAAACTATGAAACCCATAATTAGATCACCAAATTACTCTAAATTAAGGTAGATAGATAAAATACCAAATTTTAGCATAGTAGAGGGATTAAAACCTGAATTAAACCCACATTTATTTTTACAATAGTTTTGAGCTGGTAGACATGGTCCCAACCATTGATGTCGACCAGGTTAGTGTCAGCACATGTCACATCGATATTGAGAAAGACATTATATATATTTTCTATCTCTTTAAGTTTATCTACATTGATAAATTACAATTTTTATCACTCAGCTTTCTACTCATTCCTATTTTGGTTACTAAAATTTTAAAAAATGTATATCACTCAATAAACTTTTGATTTATTCTTATTTTAGTCAAAAAAAAAATTAGCTAACCCTTATTCGCATATGTAATGGGATCAGGGAGATGTAGGATAGTAGGTTACCTCCAACGTCAGGTTGAGAGCAACTTCCGTAGGAGACCTCTAAATTATTTTAGTCAATTTGTATTAAATCATAAATAGAAGGGTGACACAACTACCATATATGATAACGTGGAATAATTTTTGACGACATGACATCCATATGTCATCTACATCATTTTTTATTTTTAATTATTTTATTTTATATTCTTTCTGCAAAGATAAAAAGTTCTACAATTCATCCATATCTTAAGTTGGGGTTATAATTTTCGTTTTCTGGCGTCTTCTTCGACTACTCTATATCAAACTTGACTCATCCTCAAACTCAAAACTCATGAAATCATAAACCATTCTTATCTCTGATATCTATTGTCCTATCAACGTGGAATCAATATAGACAACCTTTTTTTTCTTTTTTAACTCCACATCGTTGGAATTTGAAAGAGAATACTTTATTATCTAGAAATAAAAAAAATTCGAGATTAAGATTTTTTTCACACAGAAAGAGAGAAAGTTTGAGTCATTTTATTATCTTTAAAAGAAAAATATCCACTCATAATTCTATTAAGTATTTAATGACCGATTGATCGAAATAGAAGAAAATTAAAAATTTAATGAGTAAATCAATAAGAATATGAAGAAAGTTGAGTGATGAATTTTATAATTAACCTCATATATATATATATATATATATATGCTTTGTTTAAGTATTTATTAATTCGGTAATCGAAGATTACAGAACTAACCCCTTTCCACCATGGCCGAGGATGCTGGAGCTAGTGGTTCAAATAACGATGGTGGCGGCAGTAGCAGCAACATCATCAAGGAACAAGACAGGCTACTCCCCATAGCCAACGTCGGTCGGATAATGAAACAAATCCTGCCACCAAATGCCAAAATATCGAAAGAGGCCAAAGAAACCATGCAGGAATGCGTCTCCGAGTTCATTAGCTTCGTCACCGGCGAAGCATCCGACAAGTGCAAAACAGAACGGCGCAAGACTGTCAACGGTGACGATGTTTGCTGGGCTCTGGCGACGCTTGGCTTCGACGACTACGCGGAGCCACTGAAAAGGTATCTGTTTAAATATCGAGAGTTCGAAGGAGATAAAGTAGCAGCAAATCAAGGCCAGGGCATTGTTGATCACGACAACAACATTGAAGACTCCAATCTGGATAGGTATTAATTAAACGACATAGCTTTTTTTTGTCTTTTTTGTTGTTGTTGCTAGATCTAACCATGACCTCTACTGAGGTTGCTTCAATTTCTTGTATGGGATTGGTTCCGACCTTTTTTTCCAATCTTCAGTTGTTGGTGCAATTTGTTCTTAGCTCGTATAATCTCACTAGTATCAGCATAACAGGTCTATAGCGACGTTTTTGTACTCCACTAAAAGCAAGTGGAGAATCGTTACTAACATCGTCTGTTTAAGTAATGTCGCAAAATATAGCGTTGCTTAAGTGGGTATTTAGCGACAATTCTTTCATCTACGAATATCCTCCATATCTGTCATACATATGGAAAATTGGCGACATTTTTCTTTAGAAACGTCGCATGTCGCTGAATACAAGGAAGCTATATAGATTACACATATGTTGTTTATATTGGTATTCATATGGACCGTTAGCCACACTTATCCTATAAACGTCGCTACTACAAGGAATCTATTAAGAACATACACACAGAGTTTAGCTTAAGATGAATTTGAGAATTTCAAGTACGCTTCCGTATTTAATTTATTATTTTTGATGATTTGATATGACAGATCTCGAGTTATTCAGTTTTTATCAGATTTTTATGATTCTAACATCCATAAGTAGCTGATATCACCACCGCTCGCCAACACCAAATACAGACAACACACGCATAACAGAAATGAAGTCAAATTCTAGTCAATGTCCAAGTCTTGTATTATCCATGCATAGTATCAAATTTTGTAGGTTTTTGACTTGGTTGAAGTATCTATTTAGGGTTAGGGTTCTTAGGGGTCCATCGTTTTGCAGATATCAATGCTGAAATGAACCAAAGCAAGTCACTGAACCACCTAACCACATTCATTATCATTTAAATGAAAAACTGTTGGTTTTGGGTTTTCATATTGACATTGACCATTCATGAGTCTTCGCCACATTTAAGATTGAATCAGATTAGGTTTTTCCATACATGTGTATGCATATATTAAGCTTGAAAATGTATCCACCAATCAATTAATATCCTCAGCGTTTATTTATAATGAGCTGTTGCACATTGCCAGGATTATAATATTTGATGGAATATTCAGGGAATCCCCATTGTCCAAACCTCCAAGAAAAATGAGGAGAAAGCAACAGAATATCTTTTATTAAAAACCCGAAACGGTTCTTTCGAGGTTTTATTACCTTTAAGTTACGCCAATTCGAATCCCCACAAGTTGAAACACTAAGGGACACACTCTTACAATACGGTGCAGTGGATTATGTAAGATCATAATAATAGAAGTTGTCGGCTCGGACCGGATAAATCTTAAATAATACGGATTTTAAGTTGATTAGATAACAAAGAAAGAAGGAACTGGACGCCATGTGAAGATGTTGCTCCGACAATGAAGACTTTCATGTGCAAAGGCCAGACAAATTCCACTTTTCATAGAATATTTTAGGTTTACAAATATATAGCTGAAGTTCGTCGCTAGAAATCAGCAATACACAGCGTTTATGGGAGGTGTGTGAAACCCTAATTATTATGCTCCCATTTTAAATATCATCAACAACATAAAAATAGAGATTTAATTATGATATAACTCGATCAATCTAGGTGCTTCTAAGGTATGTTACTTGGACTCTTCGTTTTTATTGAATTATTCATTTCAATAGTCATGTCTGATTCATGAATATCGAAATACGACCCAAATATATATATCCAATACATTATCTCGTGCTTGTCAAGTCTCCAACTCGACTTTTATTTATACATATAGCAACTTATCATAAACCTGATTTTATTATAATGTTTTAAACCCTTAACCCGAAAACATAATTACACTTTAACACACGTATGATAAACTCAATACTACAAGAACCAGTCGGAGAGAGTTTTAAAACCTCAAGAAATTTGATGGTTAGGGCCAACTTTCAAGCTGATGTTTCATTTTGATTATTCTTTTCATGTCTCAGCTCTTGGACTCCGGAACAATGAAGTTATCGATTAGGGTTCGATCTTCGTTGAAGTTACTCAGGGTAAATACACCCTTAAAATCGCACGTTGTAGACCGATCATCAGACCTGAGAATCTAAGTACGAAGAGGAAAGGTATCTGTTCTAGTAGTGGGTAATGGTACAACAAATATTGGTGTGCTATTGAAGTTATTGCAAAATTAATGTGTAGCACTAGACGTGTAGTAGGGAGCAATTTTTCAACGGTGATGAAGTTAACATGTCCGCATTCATGTAAACCAAATCTAGTGATGTTTTTGTCAATTTTCCCTTTGTCCCCACCTCCTCATACTACATGTGAGGCGAAAAAGTTATGCATTCGATTCAATTTCAGTTCAGTTTTATTAAATTTGATTTGATTACTACTTAAATATATATAGTTTAATTTATTCACAAATAAAAAAAATCGATTATCCTATCTGAATCGAATTATATCTTTATTTTATTAAGTCGCAAAAAAGGTAAAAACAATGAAAAATTTATTAAAAAATTCACCATTTAGATTTTTACTCTCTCCTATTTCATTTACAGTCACTTAACAAAATTTTTTAATGGTTAATATATAAAAGTGTAACGAAGAAAACATTAAACACTTAACGAAAAAAAGTTTAGACACTAAAAGTAAATTATGAATATAGTTTGAGTATTTAGTTTTTTATTAAGTCAAAACTAAGACGGAATGATAAAAGAAATTATTATATAAAGTTTAGTGATCAAATTTAAAAAAGTTAAAATATAATAAATGAAGTAGGAGAAGTGTAGTTACTAATATGTAATTTACCCAAAAAAACTACCCTCGATCTTCACTCACACCCACATCCAATTAAATTCAATTTTTTAGTACATTTTCCTCTCCTTTTCCCCAGTTCTTCTTAGGGTTTGGATTTTTTAATCTCATATTTAACTGAATTTTCCACTAAATTCAAACCCTTCTTTTGCCTCCATTGTTTGGTAGGGGCGAAATCAAGGTTTCGTCCATATATAATCAAGTAAAAGGCCACTCTTTGAAGCTTATAATCATTGCTTTATTGACTTTCCTTCTTTTTTTTTTTTCGGTTGATTGAAGGGAGAAGGGAAAACTGTTTTTAAACTGATTTTTAGGATCTTTTTATTTTTGGATTTTTGGAAGGGTTAAACAAATAATTTCATTAAAAAGACGGCTGCCAAATGTTTGCTTCCGATATGAATCCGGCAAGGTTTGCCGGTGTAGTAACCACCTCCGGTGTTGTGCTTTTCCCAATTCAGTTTACATGGCCACATGGTGGGAGAAGTGTCTTCTTGTCTGGCTCTTTCAATGGGTAACTCTTTAATTATTCCTCTCTGTTTTTGCTATTATGAAAAAGTTTGATTCTTAAGGCTTATGATTAGTGCTTAGATCAATGGTTAATTGTTTGAAAAAAAAATACGAAGGTGGACCGAGCTCGTGCCAATGTCACAGGTTGAAGGTTCCTCCAATGTGTTTCAAGTTGTTTATGCCGTACCCCATGGTTCCCATGAGGTTGGTTTGCTTCCCCCCCCCCCCCCCCACCAATAACATAGGAATAGGAAAATTCAAATGCTTTGAATTCTTCAATGAACTTATCTAATTGCTCATTTAAGGTTTTGATGGCTTTGAGAATGTGAAGTCTTTCAGCCATTTCCTTCTTTGTGTTTTATTTGCTCACATGTGTTGGTTCTTTCGTGTAGTACAAGTTTCTCGTTGATGGTGAATGGCGACATGATGAACAACAACCTCACAAGAATAGCGAATATGGAATAGTAAACACTTTTGAAGCTAGACCTATGACTGTGGAGGTCCCTCATGTCCAATCTCGTCAAGATATAATGAATAGCATGGAAGTAGATAATGGCCTCGTGGTAAGAATTAGCTAGGCTCCTTAACTTTTTATACTTAGCATTTTGCCGAAGGTATTGTTGCTTTTCAAGGATTAGTTTAGCATTGTGATTGAGATTAGAAGATAACTCATCAAAATTGCTGTAGTAGGTAGAATTAGTAAAAGAAGGTAGCAACTTGATTTTTGCGATTGCTGACAATTCATCGCAGTCAAGATTCTTTTTCATTGAAAATTTGATCTTATTTGGTTTTCTGTTCGCAGTTTAATGCAGTTCAGATTTAGTTATGTATTGGAAACACTGTAGTCTGCATGTGATTGGTGCTTGTTGCACTTTAGTTCTTAGTGCATGCCCATCGTGTATCTTCTCTACTTGTCCATTCATTATTACCTTTTTGCAACACAGCATCGAGTTTCTTCTGTTGCGTTGAATCAAGCAATGCCTAGGATTTCAGAAGAGGATGTACAAGCCTCCCGTCATCGCATCTCTGTATACTTGACAGGGCATACTGCTTATGAATTACTACCTGAGTCAGGCAAGGTTTGGATGCATTACTATCGTCTTCCTTCTTGATATACTCATTCTTTGCATGTTTGACTCTGACCAATTCATGTTACTTCCATTTTTCTAATTTATACAGATCTGCCTTACAGGTTGTTGCCTTGGACGTTGCTTTGCCTGTAAAACAAGCGTTCCATATTCTGTCGGAGCAGGTATCTGTCTAGTTTACGCAGATATTAGGATTTAGTTGTTTTCGGACATTAGGCAACTGTTATTTTCATATTAGTTTCGTGATAGCCACATAATCTGCCACAATAGAAAAGCAAAGAAAGAGAGAATGAGGAAACTTCTGTACTTTTCTTTTGCTAATTGTTGCTTCTTAATAATATTATGCATAGTTGTTTGTTGCTTATAAAGAGCTTGGATAGTCATGCCTTTTTCAGGGCATTCCTTTGGCTCCTCTTTGGGACTTCCGCAAGGAGAAGTTTGTTGGAGTTATTAGTGCTTCGGATTTTATATTGATTCTCAGAGAGGTATGTTCATAATGCAGAATCACATTTTTTGATAACAAGTCTTCCAAAATCTACCAATATACTAATCTGATAGATGGATCTTATTTTCTGTCTCTCTCTTAATGCCATATTTTTTTTTTTGTTATGCAGCTTCTAAAGCATCGATCAAATTTGACAGAGGAAGAGCTTGAAACACACAGTATCGCTGCATGGAAGCAGGGAAAGGCTTACATGACTGGACAAGTTGATGGGCATGGGAGACCAATTCCGAAAGATCTTATCTATGTTAGTGTTCAGTATGGTGGTCTGCGTTGGATAATAGCTTAAGAAAGACATTATTTTCATTAACATGCATGTGCATTTTATGTTTGTTTGTACAAAGGAGCTGCTTCTCCATATGTGTTTTTATGTTTTAATTTTAGTAGACCTCTGCAAAAAGTATCTAGGTTAGTGTGACTCAATGACTTGGTGGCAACTAGCATAGCTAGATGTTAGTTTTGCTATCTTATTTTTCCAGAATCCTACTTAGGCACAATTTCAAATGTGGCTATAGAGCATTTTCAAGAATCATATTCAGCGGGGGATCTGAGTTCATATAGCCGCGCAAGAATTTTAGTGCCGGGAAAAGAAAATGTCTAGAACATTAACTAGCAATCTTCTTCTTTTGAAGCAACCTACCCCGAGATTTGATTAAAAAATACAAAAAGCTCTTTCATTTTATTTATTCTTCTCCAACATTAGTTGCCACATGCCTATTTAATCCTTTCCGTTCTCCTTTTTTCAGAAAGCTATGTTGTTAGGTCTTTGTCATGTATCATTTTAGAAAGGTTGCATTTTTTGTATATGCATATATGAGTTAATGTTTGTTGATTATGCAGGTTAGCCCATGTGATAATTTGAAGGACGTAGCTTTAAAATTTTTGCAAAATGGAGTTGCTATTGTTCCTGTTATCCATTCATTATCGGAAGATGGTTCGCATCCCCAGTTATTACATCTTGCTTCTCTTGCCGGAATATTAAAATGTAAGCCTCTTAACCGTTCATTGTCAATTAACAATATCTGTTCAACATGCATGGCTCCCTAATCAATTGAGTTCGATTTCTAGGTATTTGCAGGTATTTTAAACATTGTCCCAACTCTTTGCCCATACTACAATTACCTATCTATGCAATCCCTCTGGGTACGTGGGTTCCAAGAATTGGAGAAACCAGCAGTCGGCCATTTGCAATACTGAGACTTACTGCCTCTCTTAGTTCCGCATTAAATATGCTAGTTGAAGGTATGTTTCCTGTTCTGTCAAACAAATTATTGAAGGTATAAGATAGTATAAATCACCAGGAGAAAAAAAAAGGATTTTTTTTATGGTTTCTTGAAGATGGAAGAACTAGCTTAAGACCTCAAGAGGCCACCTCAAATTGATTAGAGACATTCATGTACATGTCGGTATGACAAAGTTTTGCTCTTTGTTTTCACAGCTAAAGTAAGTTCAATACCTATAGTTGATGATAATGATTCGTTAGTGGACATATATTGTCGGAGGTAGGGTTTCATTCTTGATTATCTTTCAAGTTTGCAAAACTTACTGTCAGCTTCGGTTGAGGGTGATAGTTATTCGTTATTTCATTGGCTTATTTTCAGCGATATTACAGCTTTGGCCAAAGGCAGAGCTTATACACATAATCTAAATGAAATGACTGTTCATCAGGTAACTGTTGTGGCTTTTGTTCTACCTTTTCTCTGCTTTATGCATTAACTATCAACACAATGTTCGATTGTTGAGAAAGCTTGGGATTCGATAATTCTTGGAGAGGTGGATTTTTAATATTCTTTCTGTTATTTTTCTCTGTAGTCCCAAACTTGTTTCCTAATCTTGCGTATACTCTTTTGTCGATTTTAATTCGTTAGGCATTGCAATGGGGACAAGATTCCAACCCTCCTTATGAGAGAACTCAAAGATGTCAAATGTGTTTGCGCACTGATACATTGCTTAAAGTGATGGAACAATTGTCCAACCCTGGTGACTGTCTCTCTTTCTTTCATTTTGAATTTTCCATTAAGATTTGTGTGTGTGTTTTTTCCCACTTTTAAGAAGACTAATAATCATTGTGAAGGATAATTCATTAACTATACTAGTAAAAAAAATGATTTCAGGTGCTAGACGGCTTGTTATTGTGGAAGCCGGAAGTAACCGTGTAGAAGGCATCATCTCACTTACCGACATTTTCAGGTTCTTACTAGGTTAGAGTCGAGTACGGCTTCGATAACCTATCGAGAGAATTGTTCTTTCAGCGATTTTTGGACTCATGTCTTGTGGGCATCATTCCCTGCTCCCCCACCAATGCTGCTGGAGATCTTATCCCATATTCAACCATTGATTTTGGCCTCATGCTTTCTTGCCTGTGTTTTAGAATTTTAGGCCCCAAGAAAGAGGTTTGTAGTTTAAAAGATCTGTTAATTCTCAGTATTAAAATACAAAAGATTATGTGACCAATGTAGATGCCATTGTCAGCCATTTTCTGACCTCGATTTTGTCTTTCAAAAACATAAACACACCATGCCATGATTGTTCTTTACCATACTTATAAGTTATTATCACAAGGAATTAAACTTTTCAACGCGAGGCAACTTGTTTGAAGTAATTTATAGTCCTCCATTTTTAGTTCTTTGGATGGTTTGGCACAAATGTAGAAAAATCAGGGACTAAGTTGAGACAAGTACTGAAGTTTATTGACTAAAAGTGTTTTTAACCATTAAAATTACTTGAAAAATGAAGAGTACGTACGTTGTCCAGAGCATATTTCTGGTTTTTATATAGTCTTGATACATTTTTTAGTGCCTAAATTATATCTTAAAATATGATTTAGTGTTTAAAGAATTCTTTTACTAACAATAGGTGTCTAATATTTTTTTAGTTACACACTTAGTGTTTATCATTATATTTTTTTTTAAAAAAATTAATAATAAAAATAATTTTTTAAAAAAAGAAAAATAAAATAAAAATCAAACCCCCCAGTCTCGCGTCGTCCCTCTCCCTCTCATTCCTTCATTGTCAACGGCGAAGGGTCACCACCGGTCGGGTTTTGTTCGGAGTAGGACGAGAAACTCAACGGTGACACCCTGTGTAACGTACAAATGGTTGTAGCCTTCGAAAAACAACAATGAAAAATCTAGAAATTCCGTGACCCTTTACGAAGTTTTTCACAACAATCGACGCAGTTTCACGATGGGTAGGGGACTAAGTTTATAATTCTGATGATGTCAACGGTGATAGCCACGGACCAACAGTGGAATATCGAAGATGTAAAATTTGGGAGGATTTTTTGTTTTTTTAATTATAATATTAAGTTTTAAAAAATATAAAATACTTTTTGAAAATTTATATGCATGATATGTGTCATATAACGACCAAATTTAACGACCATTATAGTCCATACACCTAAAAATATAATGTTAGAAACATTAGGCCTTCTCGTTAGCAAAAAAATTCTTTAGGACCAAGCCGTATTATGAGGTATGGTTTAGACACTAAAAAGTGTACTAAGCCATATGTAAGATTATAGAGATCATATATTTTCAATTTAAGCATAGTAGAGGGACTAAGATCAGAATTTGACCAAGTAATAAAACAAGACTATTACATCACCAAACAGTCGTAAACAAAGGACTTGTTTTTCCAAGTTGCTGCCCTGGGGTTTCTTCATTCTAACTCAGGATTCGTCCCCATTCTCAAATTCATCTTTCCCCCCTCCAAAAACAGGTAAATTCTTTGCCTTTTTTAACATAATTACACTTTCCCAATGTTTCTCTCTCTCTGCGAAACAATTCTCCATGGGAGGTCCACTCAAAGTCACAAACTTTTAGGACTATCACAGTCTCTAATTCTCAGATACATATCAAGTTCTTCAAACGAGCATTCATTTACAGTTTCATACCTCAAAAACAAATGTGGTTTGTCCTTAGAATCTTCTCTAAGAGCCTCCAAATCTGTTCATTTCGAAACCCCAGAGAAGCCTGACTGTGTGATGGGGGTGCTCAAGAACCATGGTTTCTCAAAACCCCAAATCACCCGCCTCATCGAAAAGCGCCCACAGGTGCTTACCTCAGATGCTAAAGGAATCATTTTGCCTAAACTTGAGTTTTTAATCTCTAAAGGTGTTTCAATGCCTGACCTTGCCTATATCTGCTCTTGTAACCCAAGTCTCTTTACCTTAAGCTTAGAAAATCAGATAATCCCATCTTATGATTTCCTTAGTACTGTGCTTAAGCCTGAAGAGAAGATTTTTCGTGCTATGAAACGCTATCCGCGCCTTATGGGATACAATCCTTATTATATCTTGTCATCCAATATCAATACGTTGCTGGATAATGGAGTTGCTGAGTGTAATATTGCTTCGGCACTTTGTTCGCTGCCTTCGACTTTTGTTAGAAGTCCGAATAAGTTTAAGGGTATGGTAGAGGAAGCAAAGGATATGGGATTTAATCCTTCTAAGCCAATGTTTATGGTAGCACTCTATGCAATGAGTTCTATGAGTAAATTGACGTGGAAGAGGAAGATTGAACTTCTTAAGAAGCTTGGTTGGTCCGATGAGGAGATTCTCGAAGCTTTTCGTAGGTATCCAACATTCGTGAGGGTTTCTGCGGATAAAATTGTGATGACAACGGATTTCCTGGTGAACAAAATGGGTCTTTCGTCTAGTGTTATTGTAAAGCGTCCCCGACTGCTGTTGATGAGCATTGAGAAAAAGATTGTTCCGAGGGGTCTGTTTGCTCTAGATTTGTTGTCCAGAGGTGTTATCAAGCGCATTAACTTGCACGCGTTGTTGGGGCCTTCGGATCATGTGTTTATCGAGCACTTTATCAATCGCCATAAATTGGAAGCATCTCAGCTGTTAAAGTTATATCATGAAAAGTTGGATCTTTCAAAGAACTGGAGAATGGATGGTCACAAGCTGCTGCATTCATAGGATATTGATTGTTGTTTATTGACATTAAAAGGTTCAAATTTGTTCTTGTTTCTTTGATTGGGATTCTTTTCTTTTAAGCTAAACGACAGTGACTTTTGGTTGAGAACTCTTTCAATACAATCTTTTAGTTTTTTTTTCTTCTTTTTGCCATTAGTAGAACTTGACTATGTGCTAATAATTTGATGTGCTGTTATGTATGATCATGCCATATCTTTGCTGCTATGTCGGTTATGCGCCTACTAATACATAGCGATTATCACAACTATCCAAAAGAATTGTTTTTTTCACAGACGAAATCTATACTTCCCCCCCCCCCCCCAAAAAAAAACAGGTAAATTCCTTGCCTTTTTTTAAACTCAATTACGCTTTCCCAATGTTTTACTTCTCTGCAAAACAGTTCTCCATGGGAGAAATGTAGTTAAGGGCTTACAGCCACTCCAAGTAGCCAACTTTTAGGATCATCACAGTCTAATTCTCAGATGTCTTACAAATTCTTCAAATGAGATCTCATTTACAGTTTCATACCTCAAAAAAACTGTGGGTTGTCCTTAGAATCTGCTTTAAGAGCCTCCAAATCTGTTCATTTCGAAACCCCAGAAAAGCCATGGTTTCTCAAAATCCCAAATCACCCGCCTCATAAACAAACGCGCAGCACTGCTTACCTCAGATGTTGAAGGAATCATTTTGCCTAAACTCGAGTTTTTAATATCTAAATGTGTTTCAATGCCTGATCTTGCCCATATCTTCTCTAGTAATCCACCTCTCTTTGCCAAAAGCTTAGAAAATAAAATATCCCATCTTATAATTTCCTTAGTACCGTGCTTAAGTCTGATAAGAAGATTTTCCGTGCCGTGAAATGCCATCCGCTGTCTTATGGACTACAATATCAGTACTTATGATGTTTTGTCGTCCAATGTCAATACCTTGCTGTATAATGGAGTTGCTGAGTGTAATATTGTTTCAACACTTTGTTTACTGCCTATAACATTTATTTGAAGTCCGAAAAAGTTCAATGATTTGGTAGAGGAAGCAAAGGGTATGGGATTAAATCCTTCTAAGCCAATGTTTATGGTAGCGCTGTCGGCATTGAGTTCGATGAGTAAACCGACATGGGAGAGGAAGATTGGAGTTTTTAAGAAGCTTGGTTGGTCCGATGAGGAGGTACTGGAAGCTTTTCGTAGGTATCCAGGGGTTCATGAGGGTGTCTGAGGATAAACTTGTGGTGACAATGGATTTCCTCATGAACAAAATGGGTATTTCGTCTCGTGTTATTGCGAACCGTCCCCAACTATTGTCAATGAGCATAGAGAAAAAGATTGTTCCTAGGGGTCTGTTTACTCTAGATCTGTTGTCCAAAGGAGTTATCAAGCATATTTACTTGAGTTCATTGTTGGGGCCTTTGGATGTGTTTATCCAGACCTTTATCAACCGCCATAAATCGGAAGACGGAAGCATCTCAGCTGTTAAAGCTATACCATGAAAAGTAGGGGAGGCCCGTACTATACCTCTACTTGGCGTAAGGCACGTCCCAGGGTTCGCGCTATATCCACGTGTATCCATGTCAGCATAAGGCGCGTTTCAGGAGCGCGCCTTACCTCACGTGACGCCAAATCAACATATAACGCGGTGCAAGGGCGTGCTTTACTACTAAAGGTGTTAGATCGAAAAATATAATCTGACCGGTGTTAGATTGATAAATATACCGATTACCGATTATTTTTCAAGAAAAATACCGATGTAAAAGGTATTATCGTAAAGATCAAAATCAGACAACGAACAGTGATTTAAAGATTCGATAGCTCTATCAATGACCACAAACATACAGTGATTAAATAAATAATAATAATTTTACGCAACGAAAATTAGGGATAATGTGAACGGAGAGCAATTTAATTAGGTTATTCAACTTAATTAATGAAACATAATCATTTAAAAACTATTCTCACTAAATTATATTCTTTATCATATTTTACTCACTGTACTTTTAATTTTTTAATTTACTCATTGAACTTTTCGAATTACTCATTTTAATCACTCCGAATTATTTTATTATTATTTTGGTATGATATGACATTTCTTTATTATTATTTGGTATAAAATAATTGAAAATATAAAATAAAAACAAAATGTGGCTGGACGCATCGTTGGTCATTATCGGTCGCTGTAGATGGTGGTCGTTCGATCCCAAATTTCATTGGTTGATTCGTCTCAACCCACTGAGTCCGAATCTGGTGGTTATTTCACCATAAAATGTCCCAAAACCTGTGAATCTCGACTAAAATGTTTTAGCTTCCTCACTTTCAATCTCTAATTCATGGACTTTGGAGCAAATTCCGAAAAAATAGAGGTCAAATTCAGACTCACGGTATCGAGGCGAAGTGACCATGAAATTTGAGATTGAACGACCATCACTTACGGTGGTCGATGATCGACAGTGGTGTTCGACAACCTTCTATTTTTATTTTATATTTTAAATTATTATATATAAATAATAATAATAAATCCATGTGATTCGAAAATAATAATAAAATAATTCAGAGTGATCAAATAAAAATAATTCAAAAGTTCAATGAATAAATTAAAAAAATTGAAAGTACGATGAGCAAAATATAAGATAATTCGAAAGTTCAATGAGTAATGGTGTAGTTTACTCGTCAATAAAATAGAAGCATTTAATTATGCTATTAAACTTAATTTATGATATTAGGGACCAATTTTAATTTAGCCTTTCCTCTCTCTATTTGAAAGCCATTCTTTCCGGCATATCAGACAAACAGGGGAGCTAGAAATTTAGATTGAAAAATCTAACCGTGCAAGTTGGCTCAGATTGCCTGATCGGTTCAACATGGCCATGTATAGTGGGTTCAGTGATGGCGAGAACCACGAGGCCGCCGCTCGACGGAGCATACCGCCAGCTTCGTCGCTGCTTTGGGTCCGAAATCTTCGTCGATATATCGGATCCGGTATCGGACTCGGATCCGAAGATTCGATGGGTACGTTTCTCTTCTCTCTGCTCTTCATTTCTTTTTAACTTTTTCCACAATCCTATCCTTTTGTAATTGTTATCTATACATTCAAAGTTTCTCTCTTTTAATGAAAAATGTAAGCTTTATGGTGATTGATTTTTTTTTTTTGTAATTTTGCAGAAGTGTGATTAATTTGGTTTCAGACTATATATTTAGGTTTTTTCCTACTAAAAATTGTTTAATTGGTGCTTAAAATTTTATAATTTTGCATATTTGCCAACGCGTTGAAATGTGGAAATGTAAGCATGTTGTTTAAGAATGCATGGGATTTTGATTTTAGTTATAATTCTTGGTTTGAGCTTATGTCTTTGGACTTTTAGCAGTGTTATGAAACTGAGCCTTTTTGGTTGAAAATTATGGTGTAATACTTGTTATTATACCATTGAAATCTATTTTTGTTCCGTGATGACATTTCTGAGACCTGAGTTTTTCTTTTTCCTTTTTGTTGTTTCTATCCATTGTAGAGCTTGAGACAAAGAAGATATTGCTTGATTTATTTAAACAGAAGCAGCAGAAAAGTGCTGGAGTTGGTACAATACCAAGTTTCTATAAGAAGGCATGTTACTAATGTTATTTGCTGGTTTTATTACTATTCCAATCTTCTTTCATAATGGTTTCTTTTGTTTCCACTTTATTTTCGTATTTGCTTCGTTCAGAAGCCTGAAGAAGGATCAATCAGTGATAGGGTTCAAAGGTTAGCAAAATATCGATTTTTGAAGGTAATATTGGTCTTTCTTTGACTGTGTATTCCTAAGCATATAGTGATCTTCTTTAATCATTGCTCACATTCTTAGTTCTTCTGTTGCAGAAGCAATCTGATATTTTGCTAAATGCTGATGATCTGGATACCATGTGGGTTTACTTAAGGGAAAATTGTGTTATCGATGATTCCACTGGAGCTGAAAAGGTTTATTCTTTGCCATCATATTCTCCTATAGTTTCAAAATGTGCTACACAAAATAAAAAATGATGAACTACTTTTATTCTGTTGTTCACAATTACTACATTACCCTTGCCTTGTTCACAACTTGAATTATGTTTTGAACTTGTAAACTTGCAGATGAACTATGAAGATTTTTTCCAGATTGCCTCCATATGTACAGAACAAATAGGTGCAAAATGCCGTCGCTTCTTCAGCCCATCCAACTTCATGAAGTTTGAGAAAGATGAGTCAGGGCGAATAGCCATTTTGCCCTTCTATCTTTATGTGATGCGCACAGTAAGTCTTTGTTTCTTTAACATTTCAAAGCATTACTATTTTCCCCTGAATTATGTGCAAATCTTTGATCTGTTCCTTGTGAATTTTTGCTGCATTAGCTAATGGTGTTAGTCCTAAAATCACAGCGTTCAAAGAAACCTATATATCACCTGCTTTTAATTTTTAATTTATTCTAATTGAGGAAGTGGCTGCTTGACTGCTGCTTATTGTTTATTGTTCTTCAGGTTTCTCTTACTCAGGCTAGAATAGATATGAGTGAGATTGATGAGGATTCAGATGGTTTCCTCCAACCTCATGTATGAAGTCTTTCCTTCTCGAAGTATTTAAATTCTTCTTATCTTGTGATCTCTGTTCGGATTGAATACTGCTATACAATCAATTTGTTTTTCATCATTTCACACGAGTAAAACTATAGTTACTTGTGTACAGGAAATGGAGGCCTATATTCGTGGTCTTATTCCTAATCTGGCACAACTACAGGATATGCCTGGCGCCTTTGTTCAAATGTACTGTCGCATAGCTGCACACAAGTTCTTCTTCTTTTGTGATCCTCAGAGACGAGGTTCGCATGACCTAAATTTGCTTACTATCACAGAATTGATATCCTATCAGTAGTAACTGGTTATGGTTTTTCCGATATGCTATTAATAATAGTATTCCTTGCAGGAAAAGCCTGTATAAAAAAGGTTCTTCTAAGCAACTGTCTCCAAGAATTAATGGAACTACATCAGGTGCCTTATTGATGAATACATCTTCAAGATATACCAATCCTTTTTTACTTAGGTTTGACAAATATTATTTTGATTTCTTCTTCTTTTCCCTCATTAAACTTCAATTCAGGAAAGTGAGGAAGAAGTCACTGACCATGAGCAAGCTGAGAATTGGTTTTCCTTGACATGTACGCAACGCGTTTGTGGTGAGTGTTTTGAACATTCTCAGTTGTGCTATAAATCCTCTATTATTGTTTTAGTTCATCCTCTCTTTTCAAAATGATAGTGATCTTTGATGGTTTAGTGGATCATGAAGTTTCTCTCTTGCTAATTGGATATTGCTTGAGCATATGAATAATATTCGAGGAAAGAGTATTTGTAATAATTATTTGCTAACCTTTATCTTATTGTTTTGTAGATATGTTTCTTGCCCTTGATAAAGATATGAATGGAACACTGAGTAAGCAGGAACTTAAAGAATATGCAGATGGAACGCTAACTGAAATTTTCATTGAAAGAGGTAAGGTATAAACTGTTGTTTATTTTTATTTTTAAGGTACACTAGAATTTATAATATTTGGTGTTAGAGTTGGTGACCCAAATTCCGATTTGATCCGTCCCGAAAAGTTCGTGGTGCGACTCACTTGGTGAAAAGTTGGGAGAAAAAAATGAGGATCCGTGGTGGATGCGGATGCTCTCAGGCCTTTTCGCACATATAATTCGTAAAAGAGTATGCTTCTGTTAGCACTTTTGATTGAAAGTAGGAAAACCTTGTTGAAGTAGATTTTTTGTTACTCAAGTTTCCTTTGTAATCAGCTAATTGTTACTAGTAATAGATGTTAGGATTAAGGTTAGGCACTAGTCGAATAAGCCTTGAAAGTCGCAATTCTCAGGTATCCGTGTTATTTTCAACATCAGTGAATTTCTCCTTTGCCAATGGTTTTTCCCGTTTAAGATTTTTTACGTCGAATCTTGGTGTTTTGTGTTATTTTGTGACCGTTCTACCGTCATTATCTCCCATATAGTTTAACATTATGTTCTTATGCTAGTTGTTTCAATTTACTCGACTCAGCTGTTGCATTTATTATGCTTTGAACAGTATTTGATGAGCATGTCCGCCGTGGCAAAACTGGTGCCGGAAATAATCGGGAGATGGATTTTGAAAGTTTTCTTGACTTTGTTCTGGCCCTCGAGAACAAAGACACTCCGGAAGGATTAGCATATATATTCCGTTGTCTCAATCTTAATGGTAGGGGATTCCTCACAACAGCAGATGTTCATTCTCTTTTCAGGTGATCTTTTTCACAGATCAAATTGATGTTTTATTTCGACTATTTCGCTTCCGATTTTTGTTTATCATGTGCATTGAGCTGTTGCTAAGAGTTGAGTTTTCTGAGCTACGAAACATTATCTCGAAACATGGAAGCGAAGAAGGGAAGCATCAAAGAGATGAGATGCTTCCCGATACAATCTTCCTACAGAAAAGCTCTGATGTTTCCTTGCTTGTAGTAACTCGAGCAAGATTCTGCAAGTCGGAAACCTCCAGAGACACGAATGATGAAGCATAGTTTAAGACTCGGAATCGAATTCCGATCTTTAATACCTATTTATTTGAACATCAGCTGAAAGAATTTATGATTATACTCTTGAAACAGAGATGTACACCATAAATGGACCGAAGGGGGCAACTACGAGTTGTGCATCGAGGACGTGAGGGACGAAATATGGGACATGGTGAAGCCGGTCGATCCGTTGAGGATCACGCTGGCTGACCTCGTGGCTTGTAAACAGGGAGGCACGGTGGCGAGCATGCTGATAGATGTGCGAGGATTTTGGGCTCATGACAACAGGGAGAATCTTCTCCAAGAAGAGCCTGAACTAGAAGCTGAATGATTACATAAATTTGACAACAAAAAACTGTCAATATTGTTTCAACTTTTTTTTGGAAGTAACGGAAAAGTTATTCTTTAATAAGTATTTGGGAAAAGGGTGACGTATAAAAATAGATACTCGACTATAAGTTGTTTTATTGAGCTCTGGACTATTAGAAATTATAAAATAGTCTTCTGATATAGGTTATTTTATTAAGTCTATTGACTATTAGAAATTACAAAATGGTCATTTGATTATTCATTATGTTCCAAACTTATTATTTTTGTCAAAAATTGATGACAATCAAAGTTACATGTTAATCTACCATATGAGATATGATAAAATATGATCTAAGAATCTTAAATAACTATCATAGCTCATATAATAAATTAACATCCAATTTAAATTATCGTTAATTTTTAATGAAAAATGATGAATTTAGAATAAATTTTGTAATTTTTAATGGTTTAGGGATTAAACAAGACAAAGCAAAAATTTTACAATCAGAGATCATTTTATAACTTTTAAAAGTTAAGTGACACAATAAAATATCGAGACTACTTGTATACTTTACCCTTAAAAAAATAATTACAATAATTATTATGAAAAACTGTAATGAAATATAACACTGACGCTCAAAGATGATGATCATCTGATCAAGGTAAAAGTAAAACTTTGGTTTTGATCCTCTATCATACTCAAATATGGGACTTTGTCACTATACTTTTCATTTGACATGATTTGATCCATTTATTTTATAATGTCATTAATTAGTTTAAATTAAATTGATTATTTCAGTTAAAATTTTGATATAGATAGTTTCCAAAAACATACAATTTTAAACATTAAAAAACCTGTCAACACTACGAAATAAAAGGTGTTCCTTTTTTAAAAGTTTATGTAATATTTTAACCATAATAGTTAATAATGTTTAGGAAGATAGTTCTCATAATTATAAGTATATAAACCTATAATAAATCAAATATAAATGATTATACAAAAATTAATTATTTTAGTTAACTATTTGTTTATTGAAACACCAACTATTAGTATTATGATAAATTTACCCATTCAAACATCAATCAACTAAAAATTATTTTTGAGACTAATTTAAATTATTTATAAGTTTTTGTTTTACATGTAATAAAGGTGTATTGTATTAGATGCATCGCCAAAAATAGTCTTATAAATTACGTTTTAAACTATACAATGATATGTTATAAAAATTTGATCACAAGTTATATATATATTGTCCAAAAATATATGTATGGTATGTGAAACTTTGACCGACATTCAATCACATAAATAAAGATTTTTTAATTAAAATCGTCTTTTAGAATTACGTATCTATTTGTTTAATGTAGAATGAATATTAAATAAAAAATAATTTTTAGATTAGTGTATTCGTTTTCAGCATGTTCCTCGTTGGGTCAACCGAATCGCTGGTGTCGGCGATTTTGAGATTCATCTCTTGGATAACTCCCGGTGGCAGTAAGTTCCCCGGACAAAACAAAATGCTTTATCCAACATGTTAATCTATGCTTTTAGGGTTGTTTCTTTTCCTTTCCCCCCCCCAAAATTAATTAGACCTTTCAAGTAGTAGTACAAGTTAATTAGTTTTGTCCAATCATTCTTAAGAATGTCAAAAAGCCCATACCAAAAGTCCAAACCCCACAAAATCATTCGTATTTCTCCTCTAAACCCCACAAAATCTGAGGCTTTTTAATTTAAAAAAGTCATTTCTTTTTCCCCTGCAAAATGAGACAAATATCAGTTATATGATGGAAATAAAAGAAAGAATCTTGATCGCCATATCCTAAAAGTTTCAGGTGAGAATCGTACCGAGACCACATAATCATCCATCGATAGCTGTTTCGGCCTTTTTAGTTGAGCAGGACTCTCCGTCGGCTGCCTCCCACCGCGCTTTGATGGTGTCATGTTCTGAAATGTAGAGATGCAGAACCAATTATAAGAAAGAAACCAACTAGAATAAACATAGTAACAAAAATATATAGAGCAGATAAAAAGGATATGCACAACCTTGGCAAGTTTCTTCTCCTTGCGTGCTTGTCGCTCCCTTTCATCATATTCTTGGATTTCCTTCTCAACCAATCGGATGAGGGTATCGCATCTCCTTGCAAGCTCTTGCGCTGTCCGTGACTTCACGAACCAATCAAATCGAAACAAGGGAGATGTTCGGAATGCTGCCTTCAACTCGTCCCAATTCCCATATCCGAGCTTGTGAACCATGCATATCTGTTTTACATACGAGCAGAGGCATAAATAACACAATGAATTGTGTGATTGAACAAAGATTAAAAGACACACCATGAACCGATCACATTCTTCATTGTACAGCTTCCCTTTGTTTTGACCATACTGGATCTTCATTTCCAGCCATGGGTTCTTGTATCGATCTAATTTCTTGCCAATTGCTTTCATGATCTCATCTTTTCTAGTGATTCTGGCTTCCCCTCTTTCAATGTTCTTAATTATCCTATCATAATCTATAGTATGATAAAACTCAATAACATTATCGTAGCACTAAAACCTTGTTTACCGATTAAGGGCACTTGATTGAACCCTTTCCAAACAAGGCAAAAGTAACATGATATCAGATATCACTTACCATTTAACTCCTTGTATCGTTCTTTAAAAATTTTAGCATATCTTTGAACTTCCTCCTCGGTTTTCCCTTCCATTTCAGAAGCAATACTTTTTATATCATTTCGTCCGTACTTCTCACAAGCTCTAATGAAAGTATTGAAATCTCTTCGGCTCCATGAAGAAAACCCCTGATGCACATACATTAAGTAACCAATAATATAAACATAACCAAGTCTTGGCTCAGTTGGCACACACATGTATATATATAAACAAAACATAAATGCATTTCACACACCTCTTCTAATAGTTGTTCCTTTTCTTCCAACTCTTCAGCAGTTAAAGGATCCCCCCACGCTAATTAGAAGACTTAGTTAAACAGGCGTAAAGAATATAAGATCGTGCAACATAAAGAAGCAGATTATATGATAAAAGTAAAATACCTTCAGGTTCAGCTTCATCAATTGTGTCCTTTACCTGATTCTTCTGATGGGTTTGCTGATTTTAATGGAAATAAAAATCTGGTCAGAAAATCAATAACAACCAACAGCGATTCAATGGATGAAGAATATGGAAATTGATATTTGCTCTATTCATACATACCATAAGATAGCGTACTTCTTTCTCGTACAACTCACTCAGCCTCTGAGTGTTAAAAAACTGGAAATCGTGCCTGAGAAATTGAAATATTTTATTAGCTACAATACCCAACTGAGGAAACTATTTAGCAAAACAATAGTTTCAGAAAGGACAAACAGTTGAGGCATGCGAGGAATTCGAGGCTCCTTTGGTTTTGCTGGAGCAGCTTGGCGCATGGTTTGTTTAAAGTACTCAGATTCTGAGTAACTGATTAATGGAAACGAAAAATACATGTCAAATACGGGTTAAAGATGTGTAATACAAATTGCAAACATTAGTAGAAATGCTAAAAATAGAGACTCACTTCCGCTTTCGCTCTCTTTTCGGAGGCTCAATCCAATTTTCAGTTGCAATTTTCTTGAAGTCAAACTTGTTTTCATCCTTCATCCAGAAGAAGCAAAAGCACCAATCAATAAAGGGCAGTGTAAAATGCTAGACTTAGAAGAGATCAAACAGAAAATTTTGGGACAAGAAGCGAGAAAGATGTTTGAACCTTGTCATCATCAAAATCATACAATTCAGCAGCTACAGAGACAGAATAATGTCAAAATCTAATGATATTTTATAACAACTTTAAATGAAAAACAAAGAAAACAAGAGCAAGAGAGGCATACTATCATCCATCTTAAATTTAATAGCATCCTCTGTAAACTTCTTCATCTTTGCATCAAGTTCAGCCGTTGCTGCTTCGCCTTTAGCGATGATTCTATCAATGTCTTCATCTGTAATTGTGCTATCTTTGGAACTAAAGACCATTTCAGCACCAAACCTCACCATTTGAAGCAACTCATCTTTGTTAACAGCTGCATGAAGCAAGAAGATATTGAAATGATACAGATATAGACTCGCAAAGAATTATTGCATCAAGTAAACAATTCACTGCAAGGGAAGTTTCTTACTCTTCTGCTCCGCTAACCGTCCTTGTTGAATCACCAGTGCATCTAGGGCAAGCTTTTTGTAGGCTCTCTCAATCACCTTTTCCTCAATAGTGTACTGTTTCATTATAAACAAACAAATAAGTATACCATAACATAGGATAATTTGTCAACAGGCATACAATGAGAATATCCAGACCTCTGTGCAAAAGCGGAACACTTGAACTTCCTTCTTTTGACCAATTCTATGAGCACGATCCTGGGCTTGCAGATCAACTTGTGGATTCCTGCAAGATTGCCCTTGTATCACCAATTGAACATGAACTGCAACATAATAATAATAAATGAAGGAAAATGCTTACCAGTCACTATCATAAAGGATGACAACATCTGCTGTGGCAAGATTTATACCAAGACCTCCAGCTCTGGTTGATAACAAGAAAACAAATTTCTCACTTCCTGGCTTGTTAAAGGCTTCAATGGAAGCATCACGGTCATCTCCACCCGTATTACCATCAATTCGACAATACTGGTACCCACAAAACATCAAATAATCTTCCAGAATATCCAGTAGCCTTGTCATCTGAATTGAACAAATTCCCACAGCAAAATCATTAACATGGTTAACATGGAATTTGGAACATAAATGAAGACATATAACAATTTAAATGATGTAAATAAAATGTAGAAGACAAGCACAGGGAAATGTATCAATATACAAACAGATAATTCTAGGCAACCCTCAAGATTACCTGAGAAAATATCAGAACTCTAGAATCACGCTCCTTCAGCTTTGGCAGTAGCTTGTCCAACAGAACCATTTTACCTGGAAATAAATAAGGTCATCTTTCATGCAACACCAATGGATTCAATATGTTCCAAGAAGTAAATTTACCAGCATTGGTTACAAGATGATCCCCTGTAGTATATGGAGGTCCAGGTTCAGCACCTTGGAAAAGATATGGGTGATTACAGCATTTACGCAGTTGCATTGCAATATTCAGAAGACGCTTACGCTCTCCACCAGCATTAACAACTTCAAGA